AATCAAAATGTTATGCAGGGAAATAAAGGATTTTTTAAAAATCTTTTCAAGAGCAGCAAAGCCAAGATTCCTCGTATTTATGTGGAAGCTTCCTCAGGTAGTGTAGATTCAAGGTTGCTCAAATCATGACCCCCGGGGTAGGGTGGGGCCACTTTGGGTAATCAAAATTTTACGTAGGAATATATATATAGAAAAAAATTTGTTAAAAGCTTTCTTCTCAAGAACAGCAAAGGCATGAAAAGTCATGCTGATTTTTAAGAATCCTAAAGTAGTGTAGTTTCAATTTTATTCATATCGTTACTCCTACGGGGGTAGGGAGGGGCCACAAAAGGCAATTATGTTTTACATAGGAATATATAGGAAAAAAATTCTTTTAAAACCTTCTTTTCATGAACTACTGGACCAGAAAAGTTCAAAATTTTGTGAAAACTTCAATATATAGTGTAAATTCAAGTTTGTTCAAATCCATCTTCGCTAGCCAAGGGTTTCTGATACGCAACTCTCCTCATAAACCCTTGGCATACGGTGCTGACAAAAGACGGGATTGTTTTTGTCACGTGATCATGATTCTTACCAGGTTCGCACAGATTGCGTCATCGACAGAGCTAAAAAGCATATTTAAAAAAATTTTGTTTTTAAAGAATAATTAACAAGAAGGTATCGAGTTATGTTGATTTGTTATTTAAACATGTAAAAGTGCAAATTTACATCTTCAGTATATATTCTTAATCACATAGTTTGCACGTAGCTTTATATTGGATGACACCATATAGCTATTCATAGAATGGCATGTTATCTTACGGATCATTGTTTACTTGCGTTTTACATTACCGATATTAAAGAGTCAAGATATATCCCGAACGCATATATCGTTATTTACAAAAAACAATTGCTGATTGGTCGAACGATGTCGATCAACTCCAATCACAACTTGAGAAAAAAATCCCAACTTTTTTTAACACCGTATGCCAAGGGCTTATGAGGAGAGTAGCGTATCAGAAACCCTTGGCTAGCGAAGATGGTTCAAATCATGATCCCCGGAGGAAGGTTTGGCCACAATAGATAATCAACGTTCAGCACTGGAATATGTAGGGGAAAAAATCTTTAAAAATCTTCTTCTCAAGATTAGCAAGATTAGCGAAGGCCTGAATAGTCATAGGTAGAACCATTATATGTGACCTTTTTTTTTTTTTTTTTTTTTTTTTTTTTACATAGGAATATACCTAGGAAAAAAATCTATTGATGAATGGCCATAGTGACTCAGGTGAGCGTTGCGGCCCATTGGCCTCTCATTTGATTAGGAGGCCTTTTAAAAAATCTTCAGCCTCGAAAAAATCTTTTCAAAAAATGTCTGAATGTGAAAGGGTTTAAAAACAATATTTAAGGGGGTCATATAAACTACATGCCGTACGGGTTAATTTTGAAAATCTTACATAATTGAATGTTTTGGTTTACAATGAAAAATGTTGCACGTTTAAGAAGAATATGTTTATATATATTTCCCCCATTAACTTATAAGTATAACCTTGTCAGACTCTTTTCAATATTTGATAGAGATGTCAGATTGCTAATGGAATATGTTCAAATCTAACTTGTTACCAGCTAAGTATGCGATGGACCAGACCGGACCTTATGATCATGAACTGAGAACATTTTTGTCAAAAAATTAAAATATGCATAACGCTTGAAATAACAAAACAAATCAGGTTTCTTTATTATTGATTTTTTTTAATTTTCAGAAGCTAGTAATATTTTCAAACTTATTTTTAAATTTAAAAATTATGATTTCTAAAATCTAAGTTTTAACTTTCAGTCTATTATTAATCATTGGCTTTGGATTCGACCCCACCCCTCCCTCTGAATTACTTGTGAGTAGCTCGAGATTGGTCAGGTTTTCGGAAGAGGGGCTTTGGCGACTGAATATCTCTCACATTTCTTGCAGTTGATTCAATATCCTTAACCATGGTCGGCCAATAACAACGTTTGCGAACCAAGGATATGGTGCGTTCGGTATACATGTACCCTTATGTCCTGCATGATTACTAACATCTTCTCAAGTCAAGGGTTTCTAATCCGTGTGGAGCAAAAGTAAAATGTGATTGCAAAATATACTATTAACTTTCCAGCACTTTATACCACAAGAAAAAGTAGTTAACTTAATTCAGTTTTTTGCAAAGCTGAAACTTAAAGGGATTGACGGAAGGGCAACAGCAGGAGTCGAGCCTCCGGCTTAATTTGACTCAACACGGGAAACAGAAAAAAGTTTACACAATTTTGAAAAATAAGCTTACACGCAGAATTTGTTTAGAGATAATAAAATGACCACAGTGTCAAGATTAAAAAAAAAAAAGTTAATATACATAAACAGTTTCGTGGTTACGCAGTCTAAGGCGACGGTACAGCAAAATAACTTACCAAACTTTTTTTTTTTTCTCCTTATATTCATTTTTTAAAGAAATAACGTGTAAAAACGGTTTTAAAAAATACACCCTTTACATTAAAATTGGGCATCAAATTTTTCATAAAATGTGTTCTTGTCCAGAACTGCGAGGATGTTTTTGTTTCATTTATATTTATTGTGGATTCAAGTTTGGTGAAATCTTTACTCACTGAGGCTTGGATGGGGGATATATATTAGACTATTCTTTAAGAATTGTTTGGTTGCCCTTTCCCGACCGACTGGCTATGTAGCTAAAAATGGCCCGACTAAATACTTTTTTTAACCCCCAGGAAGCAATTATTTTTATGCATTCCTGGAAATAGATTTTGAAAATTCATCGTTGATATTTAAATTTTCTGGGGGAAAAAATTCTCACCTACCTACCAACCCATTTTTTCCCATTCTGAGTCAGAAGAGGGCAAACAAACTTTATTTGAAAATTGGCCTTAAAGAATCATTTTTTTTTTTACTTGATTAACAATGATTAAAGAAGGAAAAAATATCTTCGAAAAAAAATTCTGGTGACTCCGTTGATTGTTGTGGCTCATGGACCTCTTGAACTGTTTGGTATAGTTATTAATAAAACACAATTATTTTTTAATATAATGCTTTTCTTGCTCATCCATATCTAAAAGAAACAAAGTAGATAACGATTAGCATTAATTTTTTGCATCATGTATTATAGTATAGGTCATATCACATCAGACGCATTAATTTTTTTTAATATAAAAATTAAAGCAAAAGGGAAAAAAATCCCCGATATTTGCTGTTGAAAATAAGCGTACATTGCACTTTAAAAACTGGTGTGTTTTTTTTTTAAATGTACAAATAAATTTAATTTTTTTTTAAAGCAAATATCGGGGATTTCTTTGTTTTTGTTTTTATTTTCATAGGATTCAGACAGACATAACAAACCCTTGTGACATCATCGTCGTTGGCAATAGATGATAGACAAACACCTGCTTCCGTGTTACACTGGCACAGATTGTATACGGCGCGGATCGAAGAAGCTTAATTTTAGACTTTGACTAGAATATTTCTTTCTTTATTCATTTCTTTATTTATTTATTTATTTGTTTCTTTCTTTCTTTATTTATTTGTTTATTTTTTTGTATGCTTTATTTATTTATTCATTCATTCATTACTAGTGTTAGATTTTTCTACCTGTTTAAAAAAAGATAGTTTATTCGGGGGCTTTTCTTTTACTTTAGGATCTCAATAAAGATCGGGATCGGCATTTCGCTTCATTTATACATGGACTGAATGGTGTGTAACCTGTTGTGTAGTGTAATGTAGGGTATGCCTACATAAATGATAAAGCAGGTATTTTCTCTCATTATTTGAAAAAAAGAAAAGAAACGATTTACTGCTGTTGATCTTTGTACAAAACTGCTATAAAAATTATCATTGCAAGGAATAAAGATATTGCACAGGGGGTCGTCACGATTAATTTGTGTGTATTTTAATAAGGGTGGTCGAATAGAAAGAAGACAAATTAATCCTGACGAGTCCCTGTGGATATTGCCAAAATTGATTGCCTTAGAGATAATGGGGTAGTCTTACGACTTACGAGTTCCCCTACAATAACAGGTTGAGCATACTTGTTAAACCTAAATAGACTAGATGGAATGATTCTTCTTTCAAGTAATGAAAGAAACCTCACCGTTTACGGGAATTTTTGAGAATTTCTCACTGATAGAGTTTTTTGTTTTTTGTTTTTTAAAGAAGAAAAATAAGTGCTAAACGAATCAGGGCGAAACTAGTCTCTTTTGAGGAGTTGACCACCCCCACCCCACCCCCTTCAACTTCTCCACGATAGGCCTAAATCAAATATTGTAGAACCAAACTGGGTCCCACTTTTAGGTTTTAGGTCTGATGTGATATCAATGAATATTTTAATGGACATATTTTGGATGCGCAGATGTTATATTGCAATGAAAATACCCATTCTGCTGTCTTAAAACACATGCATTTATCACAATAGAACTCTTAATTGTGTTATCTTTGTTACCAGATTCGTTTATTCATTCAATTGAAACTGCGTTTCCCCATTTTAACCTGGGCTGACCTCTAAAAAAGTCTTCAAGTATTTCTCTGGATAACAATCTAACACAAGAATATTTACTCCAATTTATCCAAAGAAATAGAAAATAGGGCTGAACAATTCGGGGCAAGCAGGGAAGCGGGGGCTAAACGGTCTAAACCACTGGGATTTGTCCAAACACCAGATAATAAATATGGGATATAGGTGTTGGGCCACTTCTGAATCAATTATCTATTTCATGGTGCTGTGAATATATGTGGGCATTGTTTCGAAGCTCAAGTTGATTGTAAAAGTAGTCTATATTAGTACACATGGTACAAGTACCTGCTGATTTAATTGTAAGCCTCCTCAGTCCTCATACTGTGAATTCTTCAAAACAAATTAATATTATCAAGATAAACACAAATAGTCATTTTACCATATTTCAAATATTTTTTTACTTATTTTCAAGAAAAATGTTAATTTGTTTAAATCATTTGTATATTTTGTTACAGGGTTTTAATGAGCTATAATTAGATCTTGATGTCAGAGAACAAGATGTCATCAACATCTCATTCCAGAAGTCAAGAGTCTGAAATGGAAGAGGAACCTACTGGTATATAAACAAATACATGATAAAGATTCTTTGTAAACTAAAATATAACTAAAGTAATTCATAATATAACATTTTTAGCTCACCTGATCTGAAAGCTCAAGTGAGCTATTCTGATCACCTATTGTCCGGTGTTGTTTGCCCTTTTGTCTGTCCATCTGTAAACTTTTCACATTTTTGACTTCTACTTGTGCCATGTGCCAAAGTCGCATTGAAGTGAAAATTGGTGCATCAGATTAGCCATTGGTGGCCCCAAGGTTCGCTTTCTATATTTAGCGATGTTAGTTAGAAATATTATGCATTCAACTTTCTAACTTGTTTAACTTTTGTTTTAAATTCAGTCATTTTAACACGTCAACAAATCTCATTGGTTAAAACACATCAAAAACTGCTTCCTATAATATGAAGCACTTAATGATGTTAATATAAGACAACAAAGGTACTTGTTTTATATGGTCTCACCAGTCTCCACATCGCACATTGGATTCAAACCCAAGATGTAAGGATCAACTCCTTCTGCCACAGCACTGGAGCAAACGCTCTAACCACTGCACCATGCAGGCGACTGGATTGAATTTGTAAATACAGTCAAACCTTCTTATCTCGAACTCAATGGGACTGAGAAAAAACTTTGAGATATCTGAGCATTTGAGATATCCAGAGTAAAATACTTAAAAAATAAGGGGTTGGGACTTCCAAATCACTTCGACATATCCAGGGTATTCGAGATGTCAGTGTTCCAGATACCAAAGTTCAACAGTATGTCTCAAAACTCCATATTCAAGTCCTTGATAGTAAATATTTCTTCCAAGTTGTGAGGAGAGCTCTAGTCATTTCTGTTAACTGATTTTTTGATTATATATTTACATCCACTGAATATTATCTCCTTTATATGAAAACCATGGTTGTTAATCAATCAGTAAATACTGCTAAGCAGCCACCTGTATAGATTTCTTGAGCAGCAGCTCTTCCATCAATGAAACATATAATGACATACATATCAGTGACACAATATTTAACATAATAAGTTTTACTATATAAGGTTACTAGTACACGTATTTATACAGATATAAATATAATCAATAAAATGAATTTCCTTGTTTGTAAGTATGGGAATTAACATTGCAGCTAACAATGTTCTTTCTGAGGTTAATTAAAATGTTAAAACATTAATTAGAAATGCATAACCAGCTTACAAGGGTTATTTTTTTCTACAATAGCTGCAACATTTATTCCTGCACTAACAACCAGAGAGAGTATTTGGTTTAATTGAAGTATTGCTTATCTTGTAAAAAATTTAAAACAAAAATAACTGCTAATGCTAAAATCTTTTTTTTTAATGCTTTATTTTTGAAAAAGTTTTCATATACATAAGATCAAAAAACACAGACATACATACACAAACACACCCACACACAAACACGCCCACACACATACACACCCACACACTCACTGTGCACCTTTCCCAAAATACCAACTGTTCACAATTACAGCTATAGCAATACTAATTAAAATTTCTTATATTAACAAATCAAATCAAACATTGCCCATTTACATGTACTATACATTTTAGTTTTACAGTGAAAGCTAGTTTTATACAGTTAATACTAAAATCTATGTTGATTTGGTATTTGGCTAAAAAAAAAACAAAAAGAAAACAGATATTTTATTGAAGTACTGAGAATTGAATGTAAATAAAATTGCACTGTATTGAAATCTTCAACCCAATATATGTACAGCTGAGCCCTATTTGTAAAGGCTGCAATCTTCAAGGTGCCCTGATTAACCAAAAGATTGATTGTTTACACACTTGTAAAAAAAAATTCTACTGTCCTTATAGATTACCTGAATCTGTTGTAGAAAAGAAGCAAACTTTTGGGAATACTGACCTTGTAAATGAGGGAGAAGATCAGCAGAAGGAAATGTTGAAGGTAATTAAATTTATAGAGCCCTGTATCAAGATTCTGGTGTTTTGTAGTTCCCTCTACTGGCCTCTAGATGTCAGAGTAAATGCCTTTTTCAAAAAACAAAATGAATATGTCTATTCCAGTTTGCTTTACTTAATAAGTAAGTTCAAAAAACTATTTAATAGAAAAAGACAACATTTGAGTCCCTCTAAGCAGCATATCTTTAGCTCAACTGGTCAGGTACAAGAAGAGCTTGTACGATATTCAGGTGTTTGTCTGTCTGTCCATCTGTTCATCTGTTAGACTGTCTGTCTGTTTGCTCTTACCAGATTTACACTGTGAGGTAAAATTCGCATATTTTCCAGCATTCTGGGGTTATTTTTGTATTCTGGGGTTAACAAAACAATAACATGGTTTATTTATGTTTGATTTGACTGTGCTAGGTTAAAAAAAAAAATAGAATTAACCCCATAAGAATTTTCAGACATGTTATGGGACTTGTCAATAGTAGCTATGGACATGAGGAACCCCATACTGAAATTCACCCCACTCTGTAATAAAAATATAAACATAAAGCTGCAGTGTGAAAGAATGTACAGAAAATCATTTGGACAAATGCACCCCACTACAGACTTATCTAACAAAAGTAACCCTGTACTGTTTTTCTTTGCACAATGTATTTCTTGTCTGTATGTCTGTCTGTTTTTATTGTAAGGTATCCACTAACAGTTCTGCCAATATATCTTGGTACACAAAGTAGAGTACACTAAGATACAAAATTCTGTGTATCTGAATTTTATTTTCAATGTACTTGTACTCTATTGCCATGATTACTAAAATTAGTAAAGGTAGAAATTTTCCAAATTCTTTAAAAGATTACTCCTCCTACAATTATGTTCTCTTTAAAAAAAACCTTTCTATCGTTCATTAACAATTGAACATTTTCAATTTCTCTTCTAGAACCACTGAATGAATTCAACCAATTTTGATATTTAATTTAGCATCTTTGGGTCAAGGGAGAAAATGTGAATTCTACCCCTTAGGAGTGGGGCTAAAAACATCAAAATAAATTTAATCTTTAAAAAAAATCTTCTTTACTCCTGGACAGTCAAACTGTTAGCATGATTATAATGATCATTGAACCCCCTACTTAATTTTATGAAATTCATGGCCCCTGATTCAGGTGTTTCAGTGTTACAACAGGGCTCTATTTGCCATATAATGAAAATGCATTAATTCTTAAGATAAAGAAGAACAATAGTCTGCATTCTGCTAGATCATTTATGTCTTATGATGGATACATTGACTTGATATCAACAAACTAGTATGGAGTGAAGAGTTGATCCTTACGTCATGGGTTGGATTCTACAGTGCGACGTGGAGACCAGTTATTCAGATGAGACCATATAGTACGTGGTTTCATGTCGCAATAGGTTCTTGCACGAAAAAGGTCCCTCACTGCTCAAAGGCCCTATGATCTGAGTACAGGTCTGAACTTGCAGCCCTTCACTAGCAGATGGTGGCATCTCAATACGAGTGTTAAAATTCTTGAAGGGACTTTAAACAAACCAACAAACAAACTAGTACCTTGATTTAGAATTAAAAAGATTTATTTTTGTCAATTTTACAGGTGCAGAAAACAGCATTTTCATCCAGTGTGTATATTGAATGCGATGCTCTGAAGTTACCCAGCAAAAGGGCTTATGCCAATCAAACAAAGAATGGAGAAAGGCACATCAGTATGCAAGTAAGAAAAAAAGCTTCCTGAATATAACATCTGTGGGACAACCTTTAGATCATTTACAGGACCACATGTTGGTAAACATGGGTGAAAATTTTTTAAATGTTGTTCGTTTCAGAGTGCAAACTGTGAAAAATCAGATCTGAATAGACACATGAGGATACATACAGGTGATAAAGCTAACAGATGTGATGTGTGCGGGATGTTTTTCTGTGACCCAGGAGTTTTTAAGTTACACGTTAGGACACATGCAGGTGATAAACCTTACAAATGTGACATTTGTGGGAAAGCATTCAGGCGTATTTGTAACTTAGAGAGACATCAGAGAATACATACAGGTGAGAAACCTTATAAATGTGATGTGTGTGGCAAGGTATTTGCTGGATCAAGTACCTTACAAAGACATGTTTGGACACACACAGATAATAAGCGTTATAAATGTGATGTGTGTGGAAAGGGGTTCCACCAGTCAGGTGCCTTACAGAGACACATTAGGACACACACAGGTGTTAAACCTTATGAATGTGATGCGTGTGGGAAGGCATTCACCTCTTCCGCCTCTTTACGGAGTCACATTAGTATACATACGGGTGATAAGCCTTATAAGTGTGATGTATGTGAGAAAACGTTCAACAAACCAGGTATCTTAAAGAAACACATGTGGACACATACAGGTGATAAGCCCTTTATATGTGATGTGTGTGGACAGGCATTAGGTAACTTACAGGGACATATTAAACAACATACATGTCATAAGCCTTATTATTGTGGAATGTGTGGGATGGAATTTAAGGTATCAGCAGGTTTAAAGAGACACCTGAGGACACATACAGGTGAGAAACCTTATCAATGTGATGTATGCGGGAAGGCATTCTCGCAATCTGGTACCTTACACTATCACATGAAGACACATACAGGTGACAAACCTTTTAATGGCAATGTGTGTGAGAAGGCTTTTACCTATTCAGAACATTTACAGATACATATGATGACTCATAGACAAGATAAAAGTCATAAATGTGATGTGTGTTGGAAGGCATTCAACAAATCATTAGCCTTACATAGACACAAGAGGATACATATGGGTGTTAAACCTTATAAATGTGATGTGTGCGGGAAGGCATTCATTGAGTCAGGTGCGTTGAAGAAACATATAAAGATTCATACAGGGGATAAACCTTATACCTGTGATGTTTGTGGAATGTCACTCAGCAGATCAGATTCCTTACTGAGACACATGAAGACACACATGGATGATAAACTATAAAATTATGGGGTTTAAAGCAAATTGTACAGTCGGACAGTTGACATGAAGAGACCTGAAGATGCATGTCGGTGAAACTCCCTGTCAAGATAAAGCCTATGAAAGACAGAGAAATTAAATATACAGATAAGAAAATATAATGATATTGTAGGGAAACCTTCTGTGTGCAACAGTGGAAGGTTTTTCAATCGAGCTTAACATTTACAGAAATATTGATGCTGATAAAGATCCCACAGAATGTGATTGTTTTTGAAAAAGAGTTCAGGAACATAGAGAATTTTTTTAAAAAAGTGATGTGTGTGGAAATGTAAGACATGTGTAAGAAGTTATTCAAAAGGTGTACAGAAACATGAATAAATGCAAAGGAGAAACCTCAATTGCATGGTTTATGTGAAAAGTAATTATTGAAAAGACACCATTGAAAGACAAAAACTGAATAGAAATGTATAAAAATACATTCAGAAGAAAGACCTCATGTGTATATTTTATAGAAAAACAGTGTCAAATGTAAAATAAATGTGGTGTGTGTGAAAAAGTTATTCAAAGGGTGTAGAAAGACACAAAAATACAGGAAAACTTTCTTACATGTGGCTAATGTGGAAAACTTTTTTGGAAGAAGGAAGTTTGAAAAGATATACATGTATGATAGGGTATGCAGATTTAAGATAAACAAGAGGTCCATGGGCCATAATGCTCACAGGCATCAATATGATCTTGCTTTTCTTCATCATGAGATTCTTTTCTAACAAATATTCCTTTGTAAAACTTTGATCCTTGTTGTGACCCCACCATACCAAAGGTGTCAAGATTTTTATAGATGTAGCCCCACCCTACCCTTAGGTGCCATGATTTGAACAATCTGGAATCTAAACTACCTCAAGACCCTTCCATATCAAAGATACTAAACATGGCTTTGCTGTTGTTGAGAAGAAGATTTCAAAGATTTCTTTCCTATGCATTCGTTTGTTAAAATCCGATATAGTACTGGTGCCCCACCCTACTCACGGAGGTCATGATTTGAACAAACTTGAATCTACACTACCTCAAGATACTTCCATATCAATGATACTAACATGGCTTTGCTGTTCTTGAGAAAAAGATTTTAAATATTTTTAGCTCACCTGAGCCAAAGGCTCAAGTGAGCTTTTCTGATCAAATTTTGTCCGTTGTCTGCTGGTGTTGGCGTCGTTGTTGTTGTCGTAAACTTTTCACATTTTCATCTTCTTCTCCAGAACTACTGGGGCAATTTCAACCAAACTTGGCAAAGAGTATCCTTGGGTAAAGGGGATTCAAGTTTGTTCAAATGAAGGGCAACGCCTTCTTCCAAGGGGAGATGATTGCGAATTCATGAAAAATTGATGGCATCTTTCAAAAATCTTCTTCTCAAGAACCACTGTGTTAGAAAATATGAAACTTATATAGAAGCATCCTCAGGTAGTGTAGATTCAAATTTGTTCAAATCATGACCCCCATGGGTAGGGTGGGGCCACAGTGTTCGATCAAAGTTTTACATAGGAACACATAGGGAAAATCTTTTAAAAAATCTTCTCAAGAACTGCAAAGCCTTGATTGGTCATATTTATGGAAGCATCCTCAGGTAGTGAAGATTTAAGTTTGTTCAAATCATGACCCCCGGGGGTTTGGTGGAGTCACAGTGGGCAATCAATGTTTTACATAGGAATACTTAGGGAGAATCTTTAAAAACCTTCTTCTCAAGAACAACAAAGCCTTGATTGGTCATATTTACATGGAAGCATCCTCAGGTAGTGTGGATACAAGTTTGGTCAAATAATGACCCTCATGCTTAGGGTGGGGCCACAGTGGGCGATCAAAATTTTACATAGGAATACATAGAGAAAATATTCAAAGATCTTCTTCTCAAGAACAGCAAAGCTATGATTGGTCATATTTATATGTAAGCATCCTTAGTTAGTGTAGATTCAAATTTGTTCAAATCATTCTCCCCTCTCTTTTAAGAGTAGGTCGGGACCACTTATGCATTCAACCATTGTAAAACTAAACTGATCTTTGCTTTTTTCCTAGCCATAGTGATCAGGTGAGTGATGTGGCCCCAGGGCCTCTTGTTTTCCTACTCATCCGTATGTTAAAGTACGATATTGCACTGTGGCCCCACCCTACCCCAGGAGACCAAGATTTGAACAAACTTAAATCTGCACTACCTGAGGATGCTTCCATACCAGTATGAATCATTTTTGAAGAATTTAAAGATATTTTCCTATGTAAAACTTGGATTGTGGTCCCATCCTACTCCCAGGGGACATAACAAACTTAATCTAGACTACCTGAGGATGCTTCTATATCATTATTACTAATCATGGCATTGCTGTTCTTGAGAAGAAGAATTTAAGATATATTTTCCTATATATTCCTATGTAAAACTTTGATCTCCCATTGTGGCCCCATCCTACCCCAGGGGGTCATGATTTGAATAAACTAAAATCTGCATTATAGCACTACCTGAGGATACTTCCACATCAATATGACTAAACATGGCTTTGCTGTTCTTGAGAACAAGATTTCTGAAGATTTGTAAGTATATATTACTGTGTAAAATTTTGATCCCCCATTTTGGCCCCAACCACCCCACGGGGCTCATGATTTGGAAAAAAGATGGATCTAAACTATGTAAAGAAAGTTTCACATAAGTTTCAACATTTTTGGCCCAGTGGTTCTTGAGAAGGAGATTTAAAAAAAAATACCACCAATTTTTTCCTTTTTGTTAATTATCTCCCCTTGAAGGTGGTGTGGCCTTTCATTTGAATAGAATTAAAATCTTCTTTTCCCAAGGATGCTTTGAGGCAAGTTTGGATGAAATTGGCCAAGTGGTTCTGGAGAAGAAGTCGAAAATGTGAAAACTTAAAGACGAACGGACGGGCGGGCGGCCGGACAGAGGGGAAAAAATGTGGGAAAAAAGCTCACTTGAGCTTTTAGCTCAGGTGAGCTTAAAAATATAATTTACATAAGTGAAAAGGAGATTTAAGGGGTTCCGACCCTCTGCTATAAATTTAACGGAAAAAATGTCAAATAACATTGATTTTCATAAAGAACATATACCATTGTAATTCAGATGGAAAAAAGTTATAAAGTATATTTTGTCAGAAATGATTTTTTAGGTCACCTGAGTCACTCAGGTGACCTATTGCTTTCTGTTTTCGTCCGTCGTCGTGCGGGCGTGCGTGTTTGCGTCGTGCGTAAACTTTTCACATTTTTGACTTCTTCTCAAGAACCACTAGGCCAATTTCCACCAAACTTGCCACAGACTATCCTTGGGTAAAGATGATTCAATTTGTTCAAATGGAGGGCCATGCCTTCTTCCAAGGGGAGATAATTAAGAATTACTGAAAAATTAATGGTATCTTTTAAAAATCTTCTTCTCAAGAACCACTGGACCAGGTAAGATGAAACTTATATGGAAACATCATCAGGTAGTGTAGATTCAAGTTTGTTCAAATCATGACCCCCAGGGGTAGGGTGGGGCCACAATGGAAGATCAAAGTTTTACATAGAAATTTATTGGAAAAATCTTTAAAAATCTTCTTCTCAGGAACAGCTAAGCCCTGATTGGTCATATTTATATGGAAGCATCCTCAGGTAGTGTAGATTCAAGTTTGTTCAAATCATGACCACCGGGGGTAGGGCGTGGCCACAATGGATGATCAAAGTTTACATAGAAATATATAAGAAAAACCTTTAAAAATCTTCTTCTCAAGAACAGTAAAGTCGTGATGAGTCATATTTATATGGAAGCATCCTCAGGTAGTGTAGATTCAAGTTTGTTCAAATCATGACCACCGGGGGTAGGGCGTGGCCACAATGGATGATCAAAGTTTACATAGAAATATATAAGAAAAACCTTTAAAAATCTTCTTCTCAAGAACAGTAAAGTCGTGATGAGTCATATTTATATGGAAGCATCCTCAGGTAGTGTAGAATCAGGTTTGTTCAAATCATGACCCCCCGGGTTAGGGCGGGGCCACAATGGACGATCAAAGTTTTACATAGAGATATATAGGAAAAAATCTTAAAAAATCTTCTTCTCAGGAATACCTGAGCCTTGATTGGTCATATTTATATGGAAGCATCCTCAGGTAGTGAAGATTCAAGTTTGTTCAAATCATGACCCCCCGGGTTAGGGCGGGGCCACAATGGACGATCAAAGTTTTACATAGAGATATATAGGAAAAAATCTTAAAAAATCTTCTTCTCAGGAATACCTGAGCCTTGATTGGTCATATTTATATGGAAGCATTCTCAGATAGTGTAGATTCAAATTTGTTCAAATCATGACCCCCCGGGTTAGGGCGGGGCCACAATGGAGGATCAAAGTCTTACATAGGAATATATAGGAAAATTTCTTCTCAAGAACTGCAAAGCCATGATTAGTCATTTTTATATGATCGAAGTTTTACATAGAAATACATAGAAAAAATCTTTAAAAATTTTCTTCTCCAGAACCACTAGACCAAGGAAAATGAAACTTATCTGGAAACATCCTCAGGTAGTGTAGATTTAAGTTTGTTCAAGTCATGACCCCCAGGGGTAGGGCAGGGCCACAATGGATGATCAAAGTTTTACATAGGAATACATTAATGGAAAGATCTTCTTCTGCAGAACCACTGGGCCAAGAAAGATGAAATGTGGAAACATTTTCAGGTAGTGTAGATTCAAGTTTGTTAAAACCATGATCCCCAGGGGTAGGGTGGGCCACAATGGACAATGAAAGTTTTACATTGGAATATGTAGGAAAAATCTTAAAAAATTCTTTTCTCAAGAACAGCAAAGCCATGATTGGTTATATTTACATGGAAACATCAGGTAGTATAGATTCAAATTTGTTCAAATCTGGACTCTGGGGATAGCTTGGGGCCACAATAGACGATCAAAGATTTACAAAAGCTCTTTCTATCTGTTTATTTTATACTCTATGGATCTTCTTTGGATTGTTGTTTTATACTCAGGTGACCGTTAAGGCCCTTGGGCCCCTTGTTATATGTAACCATGATATGAAGAAATTTGACACAGTGAATACAAAGATAAATAATTTATAACAGAAAATTAAAACGAGGTATGTACAAATATGATATATAATGTCAAACAAAACAAATTCAGGTAAAAAAACATAACGATTTGCTGCTATTAAAGTCAGAATATGACTGTTATCTATGCTTTTAAGGAAAAAAGCGTTCATCAATAAGAATTATGTTTTTCTTTTAAAGATTTTTTTTCTAAAATAAAGAAACATATAAAGAAAATGCTTTTAATTCTTTGATAAAACGTGATTAATAATTCAAAATTAGTAAAAATAACGATACAATTGATTCAAAGTTCATTAGGTTGAATGCTGTAGATGTATATGATAATTTTGAAGAAATGTGTAAATGTTTGCTTTTTTTTTTTTTTTTTTTTTTTTTTTTTTTTTTTGAATTGGCAAACAGATATAATGCAGGAGCCACACACTATGATTGATTTTTGTTGATCACTATATCTACAAAAAGGGAAACAATTATGGGCCGAATTTAGCCAGGATCAAACTAAACAACTTTCCGTATTTTCAATAAAATATGATGCAGCCAGTGCAATTAAAATAGATTGGAATCATTTAACAGTAATTCTTTAATAAAAGTATTATCACGATCCATTAAGAAGCATTTATGAGTCATGTTTAACAAACCCGATATCCTGTCATTGAAGTTGATGTAGTTTATAATTAAGTCGCCCACTAAATTCGCTCGACACAGCATCCAAGATTTAACGCGGAATGTGATTGATGAAAAATGTTTTTCTAGAACATTTTTGGCCAATCACTTTCCACCTTTCAAGCTGTTTACTATTACGGAAATTTCTTATTTATCCCGGACTTTTACTTGAAAATGCGATTACGAATTGGAAAATTTCGCTTCTGGGGGTAGGATCCGAATTTTAATTCTTTGATCGTCGTTTTTATATGATATCAATAATACGGATTCACTTAAAAACTTTGATTACACTAATATAGATTTGGATTGACATTTTTGCATAAGGAAACTGGCGAAACGGATATAAAAAATTAAAAACCATTCTCGTTTAAAAGTTTTTCATAAAAAAAATCATGTATTATGCCATCAATAAATTACGGATGAAAAGCTTGAATTACGGACGGAAACCATTTAAAGTAGATGCTGTCATAAGACAGTAATATCTCCACTAAGGTGTTAATTTGCCTCTGCTTCTAATGGAACTTTTCTGATTTCATTCATTAAATTATAATATTATAATACAGCATAATATTTTTGCCTGGCCACTATTATCCCTCATTATCTATTCACATTTTGACTACATTATTTAGTCATGATTGTCTTCTAAAAATATACGAAGAAAAGTTAAATTCCATGCAGAATATTTAAGTTTTCAGAACAAGATTTTTTTCATTCATTGTCTATGAAAAATCCCAAGAAGTATGGGTTCTCGTCATATTTTCAACGTCTTTCATCTCAGAAAAAAATGCTTACTATCATAAGTTGAATTTCTCTTTCGTATTTTGTTTCAAATAATGAATACATTGAGTTTAAGTGCCAAAATAGAAAATTGTATTTCAAGATATCTCAGCAGAAAAATCCTTAACTAGCGACAAAATTGAATGCAGTAGCAGTTTAATTATATACAGTCAAAAAATGAATTAAAAAAATATATTTCTTTTCTTTTATATTGAAGTATTATTCATTTTTATCAGTGTTTACTAAAAGGCTTTTTTCAGTTTTTCAATAATTATATAACTTCAAATTGAAAATGTTGAAGCTTCACCTTGAGTCAGTACTTTCAGTACTGTGATTATAATTATAAATATCGGGATCGGCATTTCGGTTTGTGTACACAAAGAGGGCAAAAGCCGACAAAGGTCCAGGCGTTTGTCAATATTGTTGAGCTGTTAACAAAAAATCCGTTGATCCTTGCGAGAACCTGTTCCCTGTAAAAATATATCATAGCCACGAATAAAGATATTGCTGAGAAGGATATGAGAAAAGGTAATGTTTCAGAGAGAAGTCAACCCTGCTCTGATTTCGCGTCATGACGCGTAGGCCTAAGTATTGATTTATAAAACGAAATGTCGTACGTGTCGTAGTCAGCCTATTTTTGATTAGCTTTCATATTTGATTAAATAGTTTGCTCATAGAGAGTCGAGGTTATCCATGGAATTTATCAAATATTGTATCAGTGTATTAAAATTTTTTAAATAAATAATTAGGCCTATTGATCATGTTGATAAAGGGTGGAGAGCTAAGGTTCGAAAGCATAATATTTTACTGCTAGAATAATCTATGTGTGTATTTGGAAGGGAGTGAATAAGTAACACATTTCTGATTCCCTCAGAAGAGGTGGGTAGTATGGCTGCCATGGGTTTGCATTTCTGGAATAAAATAAAGGTTGTTTTAAAGAGATGACCCAAATACTTTTTCTGTTCAGTGTTATGGCTAATGCAAAGACAAAGGTCTTCAGATAGGAAATCATAAAAGAGTCTGAGAGGAAATTGACCCTGACTCTCTGTTTGCTGTGAGTGAATGAAACTTGATCTAGAGAGATGACCCAATTTAATATACCACTCGGTGTAAATGTAATGTCATTGAAGTAACTCATGGTATAAAATCACAAAAGGTGTTTCAGAGAAAACTGAGCAAATATCATTGTTATACTCCAAAACATACATTGCAACACAGGTAAATACAATAGAATTACTGTAATATTTGAAATTAACAACTGATTCTGGGGAAAAAAAATTAATGCTCTGACATAACATGATAAATAGGTTAATATCAAAATCCTTCAATATAATCTGAATAATGCAATCTATGTAAAAGTGAACCTACTTAAAGGCAAGTATATACAGTCAAACCTCATTATCTCGAACTTGATGGGACAAAAATAACCTTCGAGAAAACCGAGAATTCGAGGTATTGAGGGTAAATTCAGTAAAGAAAACATTGTTGGGACTTTCAACTCACTTCAACATATCCATTGTATCCTATATTTTAGTTCGAGATAGCGAAGTTCAACTGTACAATAATGATGTCTTGAGCACTTTAAATTTCCATTACAAACTTAAGGTAGTCGGGCATGATGGAATCAAGTTGTTTTTTTAAAATAACTTGTTTAAGTTACTTCACTTATTTATGGCTAAACAAAGAAATAACTTATTTGAGTTAATTCTTAAAACTAGAAAGCCTATCAATTTTGTCAAAAAACATCAATATATATATTGAGTTTGCAGTTGATTTAAGGTTATATGTAAGGCTGAGAAAGTTGTAAATGCATGTACTTCTGTTGCTAGACTTGACAGATTTGATATCTCCTGAGCAGATAGGATGATATTTATCAAAATATCATGATATTTTTCAGGGAAAATTAATTGCATTTCATGGACATTTCCGAGAATAATTTCCTAACATCCTTGGCTATTAATGTAGAATTTGTATGTGATACATTTTTTGTGCAAAACTGTAGATTTTCGTGCAAGAGTTCTAAATTGAGGAGTGTTAAGGGTGAAATAACTGAAATAAGTTATGATATATTGAGTTTCAACATGTGAAATTTTGAAGATAGATTGATTTCACTGCCATGACTCCTTTTCTGTTTACCAAATACCCCAAGCATAGCATGAATAAAGCTTTTCAGATACCAATAGGTTTAAAATAATGAGTAGTAAAGTACAAGTGTTCTAATAACCTGAATAAGTTACTGAAGATAAACAAAATCAGGGCAAGATAACCCAAAATAATGACATTTTATAACTATTCAACAAATAATTTCAAAAATAACTTCATGCAATGACCATCATGCGCCTGACTGATTAAAAAAATGTTTTTGATTCTTGAAAAAATTGAAACTAATGACTTGTTTGCTTTTTTACAGGTTTTAGAGCAGCATGATGTCAGAGGTCAGGTCCTGGCATATACCTTGTCATGAATATCCAGTATCTGATGACGAATCTTCTGGTATGTATTGATATGAATAAAAATCCTTTGTACAATTTTTCTCAGTATTACCAAATTTAAGGCACATACCACATCTTCATGATTGATATTGATGAATTCATGGAGGATATTTATTGTTTTGTTTTTGGATTTGGAATTTATTTCATACGTGGGACAGGTTTTTTTTTTATATATTTTCACAAGTGTGAAGTGCGAGTGAAAATATGTAAAGAAAAAAAAAAAAGAAAAAAGATCTGTTTAACAAGTGAAATAAATTTGATAATTCTTTAGTTATAGAATATTGAATTTTCTGTTTGTTATATTTTCTATGATTCCCGTTTATCTCTCTTTATTTTTTGTAAGACAGTGTCATAGGCTGTGACATCATAGTTCAGTGGTAGGGAGTCATAGTGTAGTGAATTGTGAGATTGAAAACTATGATAGTGAACATGGATTTCAACAACATAATTGGAGAAACTTTGGCAGTTTTAATTGTTGCTAGGGAGTACTTTTTACCACATTATCATGATTATTCGTGAAACAAAATTCTAGGGTTTTACTTCTTAATCTGATATTCTTTCACACAGTAACAAAATATAAATTTTATTCAATAAATATAAAACAGCATTTCAGAAAGTCTTTTCAAATGCAGATTTAAGAAAGAATAGATTTCCTCTCATGTTTGCTATAGTGCTGCAGTTTTAGCTCACCTGAGTGAAAGGACCAGACAAGTGAGCTTCTATAATGGAAGTTTATTTGTCATCTGTTGATTAATCTCTCTGTTTTAGCTCAAGTGAGCTTTGTCTGTAGTTCGTCTGTCCGTCTGTAAACTTCTCACATTTTCTACTTCTTCTTAAGAGCAACTGGGCCAATTTCAACCAAACTTGACACAAAGCATCCTTGTGTGAAAGGGATTCAAGATTGTTTGAATGAAGGGCCACTCCCTCTTTCAAGGGGAGATAATTCAGAAGTAGTGAATATTTGGGGGTGTCTTTCAAAAATCTGATGAAGAACTGGTAGACCCAAAAAGTTTAAATTTATAGGAAAACTTCTTTAGATTCAAATTGGTTCAAGTCATAACCACTGGGGGCATGAAATGGGGGATGAAAGTTTTACTTAAGAATTACTAGTAGTTTCCTGTACTGTAATGAGTATTTACATATTATCACATTTTTACTCCTTTTTAATACAGTGATACAGCTCATAGGATATCATTTTCATATCCATAATTGTTATGTTCAATCATTTTTGTGTGTGAGATAAATGTCAATGTGGATTTACATATATAAAACAGTGTAAAGCACAAAATAGCTATGTTTAAAATAAGTTAAAAAGAATCCCCCATGGTTTGATACTGGTATGTTTTTATCCAAGTTGAGGCTCAGGGATAGAAACACTAAACTCATTGGATAAAATATCTTATCCAACCACAATAGGAAATCAAATTTTGACATTGAAATATGTTGGAATATATAGGAAAAATCTTCTCAAGAACCACAGGGCCAGAAAAGGTGAATCTTGTGTAAAAGCTTCTTGGGGATAGTATAGATATAAATTGTTCAAATCATGGCCTAAAGGGGGGAGGGGTTTTAGGGGGCCACAATAGGGAATCAAAGTTTTACATTGAAATGTATAGGGAATCAAAATATTACAAAGGGAAAACATTGATGAAGAAAAGCAAGGTCAAAGTGACTCAGGTGAGCATTGTGTCCCATGTGCCTATTGTTTTGATGTTATCACTGGATATACATGTAAACAGAAGAGAATTATCATGCCAAAAATTTTACTTGTCACCAGGGACAAGCAGATTATGCATACATACTTTTTGTCAGTTGATTTTCACTCATCCGGGATGAGTGGACGAGAGTTTTTTTCTGCAGCACCCTTTTTAGATTTTGTTGCTGCGTATTGTGATGTGGAATTGTAGATTCCATACTTTATACCTGCTACCATCTTCAAGGTGCCCCCAGTGACCTTCAGTGTACTTGGTCCCATTGATGGATTACACCCTTGTGATAACAAGAATTTGTATAGTTTACACAGATTATTTGTTTTGATTGTAGAAAAGAAAGAGACAGTTGGGAACCCTGACCCGGTAAATGAGGAAGAAGAAAATCAACAGCAGAAGGTATATAATTTTTCTTGGTCCTGGATCAAAATTATTGTGTCCTTAAAGGCAGAGATTTTAAGCACCGCCTTCAAAAATACCTGGTCAGTGTACCCCTGTCAATCAAGTGCATTAAGGTACATCATTGGGTGATAGAACTTGATTGACATTTACTTACTAGTCTCTGTGTATACCCACAGGCACTTTTTTCATATACGGGGCACTCGTACTTATTTTTACTACAAGGTACCTAACTCAATTTCAGGCACCCTTGCTTCAAGCTCGTATTTTGTTCATATATCAATCATTAACCGACTTTAAAATTATAATGTTTGCTTGGAAAGACTTTTTTCTTGTCAAATTAATCCTTTCAGACGTCTCTGGTCGAGCCTTTTTATTGTAAACCACTCATTTATTCCTCGAAAATTACATCGATACATATTAAGATTTTACTTCCGGTTGGGGGTAGGATAAAACCAGAGACTTCCGAGTATTCCATTCCGAGGTCTCTGGTTTTACCCTTCATTTATAACCCCAACCAGAAATTTGTATCCCATCTAAAGTCTTAATATGTATCCAGGTAATTAATGAGATTTTACTTTGTTTTAAAAAAAGAAATAAATAATTTTTTTCTTAAGTATGGAATTTAGATATGGCCGAACCGGAATGTTTTGAAAGAGAAATACCACAAACAAATTTTCTTATATCTAATACGAAAGAGTTACATAGCTATTTTTTCAATACAGTGTATATCATTCAATAGACATCTTATTAGAAAATATGTTCCCAAAAACTTTAAGAAACAAAATCATAATATTTTTTTTAACTTTTCATGAACTATATTGAACTGTATATTGCATTTTCCAACTTTACCAATTTTTGCCAGTGGCTTAGACAAGCATAAAGTTTTTCAAGTAAATAAATATTACTTCTAGTACTTTTAGTGAGAGAGGCACCTGTTGAGGAAAAATAACACAAACAAAAAATTGATACATGGGTTCATATATATTTGTTGACTGATTTTGATTAGAAATTACACAAATAATCATGATAATAATTTCTGAAATATTAAGAAATGCTAAGTATTCTTTGGTGTTCGAGAATGTGTGCCATTTTCTGTATAAATCTATGCAAGTTTATGCCCACATTTTATGATATTATATGTATTACAAAATCTTACAAAATTTCTACATTTACTGTGGTAAACATTATTCAGATTATCCATATGAACATAAACCACTCAGTGCTGATTTCTGAAAAAAGTTTGTTTGTGTTATTAATCCTTAAAGAAAAGATACTTAAATTCTGGAAGAAATTGTTTTTGTATGTTATTTCTCCTTAAAAAACAAAAGCAAAATAAAATAAAAATTGTTTTTCTCAAATTTACAGGGGGATCCCACAGCTCACTTGACCAATTCAAATATTCAAAGTGATGCTGAAAGAACTGAAAGCCTTACCGCTGAAGACAATGAAACAGAGAATTTAGAAACACAAATCAGTACTAATGTAAATAAAAAGCATCATGAATGTAACATCTGTGGGAAAGTTTTAACTCGCTCGGAACATTTACGGAGGCACATGTGGACACATACAGGTGATAAACCTTTTAAATGCCATTTGTGCGAGAGGGCATTTTGTGCCAAATCAGATTTAGATAGACACATAAGGACACACACAGGTGAAAAACCTTTTAAATGCGATGTGTGTGGAAAGGCATTCAACGTCAAAGCATCCCTTAATTACCATATGAGGATCCATACAGGCGAAAATCTTCATAATTGTGAATTATGCGACAAGGCCTTTGGTAAGAAAACGTCCTTGCAGAAACACATGAAGACTCATTTAGATAAACCTTTGGTTTGTGAAATTTGTCAGAAGACATACAGTGAAAAATCAGATGAAGATAGACAATTGATGCCTTATAAAGGTACTTATCCTCAAAATTGTTTTATGTGTGGGAAGGCATCAAACAAACTTTGCCTCATACCCGGACTTATGGGGACAGAAGAGAAAAGATTTGAATGTGATGTGTGTGGGAAGGTTTTCAATCATTCTGGAGTCTTAAAGATACACATTAGGACACATACAGGTGATAAGCCTTATAAATGTGATGTATGTGGGAAGGCATTCAACCAATCAGGAAACCTACAGATACACATGAGGAAGCATTCCGGTGATAGACCGTATAAATGTGATTTGTGTGAGAAAGCATTCAACCAGAGAGGTAACTTACAGATCCATATGAGGACACACACAGGTGATAAACCTTATAAATGTGAAGTGTGTGGGAAGGCTTTCACTGGGGCAGGCACCCTACAGAGACACATGAGAAGACATACAGGTGACAAACCTTATAAATGTGAAGTGTGTGGAAAGGCATTCACTGTATCAGGTACTCTAAATAGTCACATGAGGACACATACAGGTGATAAACCATATAAATGTGATGTATGTGGGAAGGCATTCACTGTTTTAAGTACCCTACAAAAGCATGTTGTGACGCATACGGATGAAAAACCTTTCAACTGTGGCGAGTGCGGAAAAACATTTAAAATGAAAGCGTACTTAAAGGACCACATGAAGACGCATAGAGGTGAAAAACGTAAAAGATCTAAACATGCTAAACATGTTAAAGTATGAGAGAAATTAAAATATTCATTGTTAAAGACATACAAGTATTTCTTAAGGCCACGTGCTACAAAAAGTTTTTTATGCCCCTCCCATGAATATGGGTGGAGCATACACTGTTTATCAAGTTTGGTCCTTCCATCTTTCTGTACTTTGTCTGCCCATCAGTGACAATTTGCATAAAGGTCAGTTTCAAACAAACTCAAGAAATTTGTACCAAACTTTATCTCATGTCAATGCTGATACGTAAGCTTTTCAACAGCAGCTAAATTGTCAGACCTTACCTTTTCTTTGACCTTAACATTACTTTGGATGTAGTTTTCTTTTTGAATTCAGAGTACATGGAGAAGTGGCCATTTTAAGAAATTACGGAAGATTTTATGTGTTTGCTTCACAAGTTATGGTAGTCTCGAGTTTCGTTAAAACAAGAGAGGAAAACCTTTATCAAACAAAAACAATTAAAAGTAATATTTTTCAAGATATCTTCACAGTAAACATGGTAAAAGGTGAGATTGATAATTTTGAAGAGCTTGTTTATACCAGACTGGGTACATGTAGTTGATGTTTAGGAAATCTTAAATGAATAGAATTAAAATATGTTGGATTCAATCATATTGATCATCAATTTTTGCAGGGCCTGTGGCACAAGACGGTTTGGGGTGGGTGGGTGGGGGGCTCTCATTGTTTATGGAGAATCTTTTGCTGTAGATTCAATATCATTTATATGCCCTTCATCCCCCAAGACACACACTTTTTTATACAGTAGGGTGGAAAGTATGCCATGTTATTGCATCAATAAAAAACAAACCCAAAACTTAAAAAAGATTCTATCCCCATCCTATTTTCTGCGGTTTTTTTTTTTTTTTGGTCATTATTTGCCTTCCCCTACCCATTTTGACAGTGTCTCTACACGATGATTCTTGAGAGAAAAAAATCACAAATAGATTTGTTACTGAGGTTGATTAACCCAATATATTTCTGTAGATAGTCTGTAACTAACCTAATAATTAATAAAAGTTTCCTCTTTAAAGACAGGTGCATCTTGAAGATATTTGGAATTATCTGTAAGAAGAGTGATAAGTAAAATCTATGAATGAATTTTATCTAGGTGTAATACAAAGATGTAATATTGTTGAAAATACACATTTTTGTAAAATTTTCTGTGGTTAAAGGAATTGGGGTAAAACTAGTTATTTGTATGTGGTTTATGCTTGAAGTATATTCAAATGTTGTCAATTGTACTTCGTTGTTCTGTAGTTTAATGTACTGTATTCAGTTGAATTTTTATGAATAAATATGTAGAAAAGAAAATTTATAATATATTTGTAAAGTTCAGCGATGCGTAAGTATGATAAAATTTATAATGCCAAATTCATGAATTGGATAGTGGTACCTGTACATTTATGCTAAATTACACCAAAAATCAAGATGTAAATATTGCTGAATGAAGTACTTTTAAGTCTTTTTGTAAAAAAAAAAATGTTTCGAATTTTCATTTTTCTTTTAAATTTAAATTACAATTCAGCCCATGCACATAGGGCTTGTGTAGGATGTAAATGTATACTGAGTAAAGTGACAATCAATCACTTTTTGATATGAAAAAGTTAAAGAAAGTGAACAGTGATCGATCCCCAAAAAATCTATAAACAATACAAATCTTTGAAAAGGGCATAAAACACGGACCCTTGAAATTACGAGGTGGGATCAGATACCTGAAGTGCTTTCCAATATCATGGAGTACTGTGTTCTCTGTCTTTACAGAGACCTAGGCTCAATGGCTGATGAAAGAATGTCCAGCGTATGTTGGTTGTGTGTCCTCTATGTACTTTTAGCAATTTCTTCTCCAGAACGACTCAACCAATTTAATTTAAATCTAAACAATGTTCTCTGGGGAAAGGAAATTCAAGTTTGTTCAAGTAAAATCTAGAGTGTATGGGCAGCGAGTTAATACGATATTGTAGTTATTTGAACTTCATACAAATCTCTTGGTGAAAATATGCATAAACTCTCTCTTTATTAAAATATGAAAGAAAATGAATCAGATACCAGAGATATTTTGACAAAATTAAAATTTTCTTCATATCTGCTAATATAAAATATTAAAACCAAACAATAACAACCACGTAAAGTGTGTACAGTTAAAATCAAAGTACACTACTTTAGTTGGCAAAATAAAAAAAAAGTCTAATACACGATCTCGTGTTCTTATTTGTACATGTAGACTTTTAAAGTCGTATGGTAAAGTAAGCTGTTATGAATGAGAAACGGAAATAACACACTTGGCTGAAATAAAATAAGTCACTGTTTTGAACTTATACCTATTATCTTATGTCTATTTTTGTGCGAAAAAAACATGCAGTTGCTTGTATTGCGAAATTTGGTCAATTCATTGAGTGAAACACTCAGCAAACACCGTGCAAAAGGACGGACACACACAAAAAGATATTTAAAGTAAGTTATTTTTTTTTACATTCCAAAAACACATTTATTAATTCATCAAAATAGAAATTTATTGACGCTAGAGCGTTTCCAAATCCGTGTGCACACGCTTATTATAGCGAATACGCTTATAATGAATTGACGCTTACATTAAAAGGATTTTCACTCCTCGTGACTTTAAAATATATTAGAAAACTTATGGATGTAACGAATTACGCAAATAACGAGCATTTTTAAATGATCAGGAATTTTGATGCTCTCTAATTGGTCTAGACGCTCTTTTCTGAGGTGTACCTCAGCGTGAGTTCACCTCAAAATAAGGTTCCGGGACGTTTATTCGGGTTTTCCATCTTGACTAACCATAGAGTTGCTTATATTTTTGGGAAGAATAAAATTGCGGGTTTTAAAGCATGTGTCGTTGTGAATGTAAACATGACAGACTGCCAGTGCCGAAGAGACTAAACTCCTTTCTTAGTAAATAATAGAGTATTTTTGTGTAATAATATTGTTTTCCACTTTTAAACATTTGTTTGTTAAAATATAATTATAATGTGTTATTATACTACGCATTATAATTATATCTATTTATATTTGATGGAGACAAGAACTTAAGTGTTAAAAATGTTGTAAAATTCCTGATCATTTAATAAAACGGGTATTGACTTTAGAATTCGGTCTACTCGTGACTAACCGGACCTGATCAAGTATTTGTTAACCTGGGCCTTCGGACTCGTTCAACCAATACCTGACCAGGTCCATATAATCACGATTAGACCTCATCAAAAGTCAATAATTGTATAGAATCGTCCGTCCCTGGCACTTCGTTAAAATCGTGTTATATCTATTGTTTTCGAATTTGAAAAGTATTTTCAGCTTAACGTTCTAATTTCCTGACAGGGATTGTTGAATTAAAATATTTTTCAGTGATGCAATAATGTATTTATACATGTACTTTAAAAAAAGTCATGTTTTGATAAAATAACAAAAATTTAAAGTCACCCTTCAAATGCATTCAAATATTCATCGAGAGATGTAGGCGACATGAGATTAAAATTAATAAATACTCCTTCAGACATGTTACATTACTTAGTTTTTCATACGCGTTACAAAATAGCCATGTGTTTTTTAACCGAGACCTAATGGAACCTGAAGTTACTTAAGAAATTTTTAAAAAAAATCAGATGTATTGACGATGTTTTATCAATTAACAGGAATTACGTCCATTCATATGTCGATTCCATATATCCCAGAGAACTTAAAATGAAGACATCTACCACATCTGTTTCATATTTTGATGTTTTACCGACTATAGACGATAAAAACCACCTAACAACTAAATTGTACATGTATGACAAACGAGATGACTTCATTTTTTCCATCGTCAACTTTCCTTATTTATAAAGTAATATTCCGCTTTCACCTACATATTGTGTTTACATCTCCCAACTTAGAGAGTGCTCTGAGTTAGATAACATTTTAAACCGATGCAGGCTACAGACATATAAGTTGGTTTTAAAGGGATTTCAAAAATCTCGTCTTAAGTCAGCAATTCGTAAATTTTATGGCCGTTATAATGACTTCGTTAGCAAATATGACCTATGATTGGGATGTATTTTGGCTGACGTGTTTCATACCAATTGTTAAACATTTGTCTTTATACTAAATTTGACTATGGAATGTTCCGTCTACGTGATCATACACAGGGTTCACGGCGGGTGTGACCCGTCAACAGCGGATGCTTACTCCTCTTTGGCACCTGATCCCACCTCTGGAATTTCCGTGATTCCGTGTTTAATGCCTTGTTCACAAATTTGTATTGTTTGTAGATTTCTTTTGAGTTCGATCACATTTCGTTATCTTCACGTATTTCATATCTTATAATTTAAAACAAAAGAAACTTAGTCGTAAAATTTACATATTCTTTTTTTTTCTACAAAACAGTAACAAACCTATGTTGAAAATATTTTTTCATATAAATTATGTGGAATATTAACAGGTCTGATGAATTACCTGATTGGAGGCCAAGACCGGAAACCGTAAATTACTGTAATTACGTGATCAAAGATTTCCTTCCTATAAACATCTGGTTTCTTATGTATTTTGTATTTTTAGCAAAATAAATAAAAAAGATAAAAGAAAACTTCCTACATTTCTAAATAGTTAATGTATTGATCAATCACTTTAAGGACAGAGCTAACTAACGAAAAAATTGATGCATGGATTCCTTATATATTTTTTCATTAAAACATTTTTGTGACGTCACCTTTTGTTAAACCTCGTCCAGTCAATTTCTTATTGTCCTGCACTCCGTACAATAAATTACCTGTAGGTGTCCAATAAGATTCAACTTACCGGTCAGCTACAGGTTACATTTAAATAAAAAAGAAAGGGCGAAACAGACAAAAAAAAAAAAAAAAAAAAAAAAAAAACAGCACTGAAAAAAAAACTCGGTCTGATAAATCAAACAATTTAATATGAGCAATGTAGAAAATTAGCAGCGTAAATTATAAATATTTCACAAGATAATCCTACTGAAATGTGCATGAATAATCCATGTGGTAAACAGAATGCCTCAAAGGAAATGTTGAGGAATCAATGGCATCGAACTTTAATTTCTATTAATTCACCGTTAATTACTCTTTATTTTACATTGATACACGAAACATTCTCAGAATTTGGGGACACAAACGAAGAATCATATGTACGAGTATGGTTTCCTTACACACATCCTTGGGCTTTTTTCCTTAGCTGAACATCCATTTTTCTTCCTTTAACTATACCACTCACCAAGTATCAAATTATTCTGTGATGTAAATCTGTATTTTCGTTAGTGGTGACCAGTTGCCTTGTCAGTCCCACACAATCTGAGCGAGTCTCTGTCGTTGCTTATAAGGGGTGGCTGGAGTTAAATCCTTCAAAACAAAACCTACGCACAAGCAAAGGAACTTTTGGAACTGTTAGAGAAAAAATATCAAAAATAATCTCCGATATTACCCTGGGAAAAATCAAGCTTCAGGAGTGGTTGGAGTAAAATCCTTCAATTCCTTTTGCTTTGATCAATCAAGAAAACTGTGTATTGCAAACTCCGAAATGTAAAAATATCTCCGGACTTTTCAGTAGAAAACTTCAAGCTTTAGCTTGCATTTAAATTTAGCGTTTATGACAATATCAAGAATACCTGAATTGAAGTTGTTTAAAAATGTACGTCCTCATTAGTGTGGCGCTGTAAAATGAATAAATTTTCAAGAATTTAACAGAACTAACTTTTACGCATGCGTAATACATAGTTTAAAATGTCAACATTTTAAACTATGGATTACGCATGCGTAAAAAGTTAGTTCTGATAAATAAGACTAAATAAAGTTAATGTACATAATTATTTATCCAAATAAATCAGTGATTCGATGATTCCTACAACGGTGATAAATACATAACTCGTTTTCTTTGGCTTAACTTAATGGACAGTGCCAAATAAAGTCACTAAAGCAGAACGAGGTTTACCTGTATGTGTCCAATAAGTTAACAATGGGAGTGTTCGACATTGGTGAAATGTTTTAAGTAAGTTATAAGCCTCAAACTGACCATTATATCAGATATTAGACTCTCCTCGGCGCTAACGCACCTCGAACCGTCTAATATCTGACATAACGGACAGTTTTCGGCTTATAACCATTACATATATTTAGTTATTAATGTTCCAATTAATATTAAATATCTTTTTAAAAAGTAAGGAATTCAAGACTTTCTACGACTCTTACATATTTGTCATCACTCTTGTAAATCTATACAATTTTTTTTAAAAAAAATTATAGCACATTTTTGTAAAATGTTGAAGAAAAAATTTAAATCTTATTCAACATTTGATTATTAATAAGCCAAGGTGAATTGACCATTTAGATTCATTTTCCCTTTAGCAATGCAGCAACGGCTTTTTTCATCTTTTGTTTCTTGTTTTTCAACGATTTCTTCGGAAAAAAAATATGTATTGGTACCCTATTTTGAAAATGAAATAGGTTAACTCAATATTAACACTTTTATCTGATATAATTGTAAGAGCATCTTTTTCTATAGTGTATAGGAAATTCTTAATGAAGCTTTCAGCATAATGATGATAGGTTGCATAGACAATATTTCAACTATTAAATACGATATTTTGGCTAGACATTTCAAGTCTTACTTTTGCTCAAAAACATAATTCATTATTCAGTTATGTATAACTTTGATCATACTTAGTATTTTTTTTGTTTTTTGGTATTTCAGGAACCTGTATAGGTTACTGGGTCTTAGAACCAAACTTCTTTAGAAATGGAAGACATCAGAACAGGGCTTGTTCCCGTCTTCATTATGTGGATCTGTTTTATTAGGAATGGTCAAACAATGTTTCAGCCCCATCCAAAATGCGAACAAATTTCGGTTGCTATGTGTAAGGACTTATCGTACAATTATACGGTCATGCCAAATTCATTAGGTCATCAGAAACAAATAGACGCTGGATTAGAAGTATCGCAGTTTTTCCCCATTGTCGAAACCCAATGCAGTCCTCAATTAAATTTTTTCTTATGTTCGTTGTATTTACCGATGTGTTCAGCAGAGGGAAAACCGATTCCGCCTTGTCGCTCCATATGCAACGCGACACGAACTGGATGCGAACCACTGATGAACAAATTCGGATTTCAATGGCCGCAGAGGTTAGTTTGTGAAAATTTTTCAATAAATCGTACTTGCGCTCGAGAAAATATGCCTCATTCTCAAGAAATTGCCACACATCCTCCAACAATCAAACAAAGACCCACAAGTTATAAAAGTTCTGCCAGTATGAGCCTGCAGACATTGTCCCAGCCATATGCAAAATGCCAAGTGATTTCGGTAGACATGTGCGAAGACATGCCCTACAATTATACAATATTGCCAAATACTTTAAATCTTCAAAGCCAAGATGACGCGGATTTACAGCTGTTAACATTCGTTCCTCTAATACAATCTGGATGCAGTCCTAAGCTTAAGTTTCTTTTATGCGCATCGTATTTACCAATGTGCACAGAACAAGGAGAAACTATTCAACCCTGTCGCTCTATATGTAACGAAGTTAGAAACGATTGTGCACCAATATTGGAGAGGTTCGGATTTCTGTGGCCAGAGAGTTTAGCATGTGAAAAACTTCCTGAGAGTGGTACATGCTCTCAAGAATCTATGCCTGATCAAATAGAATCAAACAACCATCCTTCAGTAAAAGAGGGTAAATATAATATTTTCTTTTATATCTTTGTATGAAGAGAGAAAGACAAGACAAAAATTCTTTAATTAAATATACAGGCATTTTGTGAAATTTTATCTGTACAAATTTAGATTTCGGTTGCTATAGATTTTATCTATATAAATTTAATTTAACAAAAATATCATAAAAAAGCTTACATGTAAGCATGTTCATGCAGGAAGCTTAAACACCTTTTTTCTCTATTCAAATTCTGAGCAAGGTGTAAAAGAAAAGTATTGAAAAAGATAAAACGAATACATGGTCAACTATTTCCTTTGTTGATAAAGTCAGCTTCACAGTTTCTATTTTTTTCTATTTTCCATTTGTTTTAATATCCTACGGATATACAAATTGTATTGGTAATGATCATGATGATAATCATAAAAACTTACATGTAAGTAGCAAACAGAGGTATTAGATTATATTCAGTGATTATAATTGATACTACAGTCATTACGTATACGTCGTTCTCTATTCGTTAATTTACGTACATTGGCACATTGAAATTTTAAAATATTTATGAACGGGTATTTTTGAAGCTGTTGTTACCGGTTCGAATGTTAATATCCGTAGCAGTCTCCAATGTATACGTTGCCTGTTACTTTACTACAAAGGTCGAAATTCGGTTAATTTTTTGAACGTACAATTTATGGTGAGATTATGGAACAGTTTGATGATTTAAAATTGCAACATATCAGTAAGTATCATTAACATTTGGAGGTAAGGTATTTTTTTTAATGTGAAAAATGCTGAAAAATTCACTTTTTGTGAAAATAGAGGATTCATTCCTGTGCAAATCGAAATACTTCCTCAAAATACATCAATATTTGATTTGAAACTTATCTCTTTTGTTTACAAAGAAATGTTGAAAAATATTTCCCAGAAGTGTCCGTGAATGCATATGCGACTGCAAATGATTAAGTTATAAGATAGACAAACTGCAAACTTCAAGAATTCACTTCCACAAATTTTGATGAAAAAATGGGAAAATGTTAACAGCAGTAAGTAGAATTTTTTTTTTTCAAAAGCATACATATTTAATGTTTAAGTAAAGATTAATATTTTACAGTAGCTTTGCATAATTTTCCAGTACTTTGTCAAGTAAAAACTATTTCTGAATAAGTCTAAGAGGAGAAAATTATATTTCTTTTAGAGTATGATGCTGTATTAAAGTTATATCAACGGTAAACAGTGGCACTGTTTCAATCGAACGTGTTTAAATGGTTGTGGAGCACAGATTCTTTGTACAGAAGGTATACTTTCAATAAATGCCTATTTCAAGGTTTGAAATTAATTTCGAGGAAAAATGTTTTCCCTTTAATTTACATTTACAAAATACATTAAGTAAGTTGATTAATACTTGAGTGTTGCCTGGCGTTTGGAACTGCATGTAAAAAAATATTATTACCTTGAGATGTGTTTATCTTATTAACAGCAGGGGATGATCGCTCCTCCATTGCACCTGATCCCACCTCTGATGTTTTTGGAGGTCCATGTATGCTCTGCTCTTGATTTGTATTGTTTAAATGGACTTTTGAGCTTGAACACTGTTCGTTATTTCCATATATTTCATACCTGTCACAAGAATTACAAACAATCTGCAGAAAGAGTTTTTTTCACCTAGATATAAGTACGTTTGCTAAATATTGTCATATGATTTGGATGAACATATGGCCCAGCAATTACAATCTTTTTGAAATGTTGCAAAAAAATCTCTGCGGCAAAAGAATGATATTAAGTAAATGTGCTTGAGGAAAGGCAAAATATACCTGGTTAACGCAATAATTCATGTGTATTTCGAAAATTAATGGTGTACAAAACATTTCCTTAATTATACAGGTATTTGTGCCTCCCCCTCCTTTATTACATTTTTTTTCAAAAATAAAATTTCTGTAAAAATTATTTTTGAAGGATTTCAACCAGATTCCCAGTTAATAGCTGGCAGACAACTTGTTGATGCAGTTATTGATATTTAAGGTATTCATAATTGATATTTTTTCTTTGAGTAAAGGTTGTATTCTGCGAAGTTTGATATTAAGTGTAAGGATGATATAGAGTGCATTGCTCAGTCATAAACAACCGCCCAATGCCGGGGAGGCTGCTGTCCTGTTTGAGAGGACCTCCTATCTGATAAAGGTAACATTGAATAAACATGCAAAAAATCAGCATTCAGTTTTCTTTAATTCTTTTTGTGCAGACAATATGAAGGATAAATATATAAATTTAGATGAAGTGAACATCTTTTTTGCAACGGAATTTTTTTTACTTCATTTTTGATTTCAAGAAATGGAAAACACCCACTGAAACAATGTTTGTCTGACATGAAGAAAGCTATGGCCGATCTATAAAAAATGGCGTCGTCTATATATTTATATATTTATTATACCTCTGTGATTTTTTTTTTCAATATAAAAAATATGACGAATAAACCTTATAATATATGTTTTCTTAAACAGTCCTTTTGTGGAATAGTTTCTGTGCTATTTGCCCATGATGAAAATAGTCATCAAACTATCCACCGGCAGCATTCCGTCTCCCTCACTTTTCGTCTTGAAACTCCTCTGGTTTTATCCGGATTGTGACATAACAAAAGTAAAGTCGGCTTAGGTATAACAAAACAACTATTTACTGACTCTTCGGACAATAGTACATGTAAGTTTATCGATCGTACCCCTCGATAGCAACTATTTCCCTCGGCTGCGCCTCGGAAGATAGTTGCTGTCTTGGGGGACGATAAATTTGCTATTTTCCTCATAGCTAGTAAATAGGTGTAAAATATTTTCCTTTTGTGTGTTTGTAAAGCAGAGCGAAATTTGAAGGTTATGTTACCCGTCCTCTGTCTCTCTGTCATATTTTGTATCTTGTGACTATAAGAGATAAGGATTAGATATTTTGCTCAAGAATTCCAAGGCACAATAGTTTTATAAAATACATTGTTCAGTGAACTCGTATCCCTTAATTTTGTCCTTTGACCTACTTTTCAAAATAATTTGAAGTGGGGATATACATCATTTAGACTGTTTTACGATAACTGTGGTACTTTTGAAGGACAAATTGATATAGCTTGGTGAAATATGACATAACAGCAATTGTTTAATACATGCCATTTTCTTTAACTCTAAAAAAATCTTTTCCAGACGTTATTAAATTGCCCTGCAAGAGACCAGTACCGCAGTTATTGTGAAATGGCTGATGCTTTGACTTGACCTTTTCAGGACATTTTTAGGGTAAATAAGGTTTTAATTTCGGGGGGGGGGGGTCCAGAATCAAATATCATCACGTGAATGGAACTTTAAGAGATGGATGTGATTAAGAATATGTACTGATAAGTGTGATGATTGTGTACAGTGTTTATGATGCAATATTTTTGACAATAAACATGCTACTAAATATATTTTACATGAAGGTTCTCAAAGTATATCAACTTCATGAACAATATATTCTTCATACGTTTGTACTTATCTTTATAACAATCTCAAAATAGTAACATTCTTTTTATTATATTGGCACGAGTTTTGTCACGTTATTAGACACCTTCCATAATTCTATTGAATATTTAAAGAGTGGGAAAACATCATGAAAGTTTATTTTTGTTTCATGGAGGTCTAAATAAGACAAATGATTATTTTCTATAATAAGAAATTTTTGCACACCTAATGTTGGATATTAATTATGTAACAGTGTCACTTTTTGCATTCATATTTGTAGACGTAGCTAAGAACAGAACCTGTTTCTTTGCCAAGCGCTCGGGACTAATTGAAGTGAAAATTACTGGTCTTTCTTAGTAAAGGTCTAAAAGTGAAGCCCTTAACTGGCATCCGGTTACATTTCATATGAGCCAAACATTTTCTTGAAAAGGGACTTAAATCTGCAAATTAAAGATGGACCAATGCCATCGTGTTGGCATTTTGTAGTAATATCAATATTTTTTTGATATGCGCAGTACAGTTAAGGCAACATTTTCTATAAAAAGGCACCAAAACGAGACACTTAAAGTTCAACCGTCTTATTTTTTAGCATGAAACTCTATCTGAAATATCTTAATGGCTTTATGAAGAGTTTGTCCATCGCTTTTCACATCGGTATTTTTTGTCATCATGTGACCCTCTAAAGTCACGTGAGCTCCGATTTTAGGTCAAAATATGAAATGTCAAATTTAACCAAAAAGTGCAAGGGCAAGGCAAACAATATTTGAACTGCACAAGGTTTCATTGTGTCCCTTGGTATCTATCCTATCGAAAAACTGATGCTCATTCAGTCAGATTTCTGAGATATTTAAGTTAATCATTGAAAACAAACACCAGTATTCAAAAATAGGGTATTTTTCATCATTTAATCGGAAATTTTAAATTGCCTGATGAATTACAAAGAAATGAGCATCACTTTTTAAAAACTATACAGTAAAATAAAGAATTTAAAATAAAAACCTACCTCTTGGGTTGTCGCCTTGCCCTTGCACTTTTTTATTAAAAATTGACATCTTAACACATTCATTCTAAATATAGTTTTCAAACGCATCATTGACCCAGCATGGGAGATAACTCTGTGGTACTTAGTAGAGTTTGTGCACCTCGCAAATTTTAAACAAATACCTACGGACTGCGCTAGGCTTTATTTCACTAAATCAAAACAGTATGCATAAAAAAATCTTTGACTTTATTTTGTTTTGTATATCTTCGTTCTTTTATACGCTACACAAGACGTATTTGACACCTACCGCATTTCCTCCGTTCGCCTAAAATTTGCCGCAACATCCATCATGTAAATAAATTCGAAAATGCCCATGGTTAAAAATATTGAAAGATTCAGTCATTTGTAATAAAAATAAAAAATAAACAGCCCTATCAATGATTAAACATTTATTCTTCCTCAGTAGACACACAGAAAAATATCTCCAACAGAACTTAGTAGTTTTTTTTTTTTTTTTTTTTTTTTTTCATATGTGACTATTTTAGTTATCAAACCTTCAACTGTTTATGGATTCTAGACTACGTTAAAAGTTTTAAGAACAGAAGGAAGGGATTGGGGTGCTTACTCCTGTATTTAATAACCTGTTTTCCTTTCTACAGATCTAACCCCCCCCCCCCCCATCACCAGTTTGCCTCTGGCTCCTTTGATACCATATACTTACTGGCATGTTAAAAATAAATTATTAAACAGTGTTCACATCAGGTTTTACTTATTTGGGTATTGTAGCACAAATCATATCGGCGTAGGGGGGAAGGGGGGGCTTTAGTCTCATGTTTTTGAGTAATTATCAATCAATGCGCAAACAAGATAATCATAGTAAAAACTTTGTAATACAGAAACAGATACTCTGTTAAAGAACAGATGAACACAATATACATACTAAAATTTAGATCTTGTTGTACCACAAAACACGGACAGGCGCATACCAGAATGGAAGTGAAATGTACGCAGAGAACGGCTGGGGTCCGCTTTGAGACCCCCAGTGGGTCCAGATGAGGGCCCAGGGGCGAAGTCCCTGAAAGCTCATGGTTTTTATCAAATATTTCATTCAAAATCATGCCATTTCGATTTTCTTTAGAAAATACAAGACATAGTAATATTGTTTTTAACACAAAGTTAAATACTTCCTTGCAAATTTATTGTACATGTAGAGGCTGAATATTTTTTTTAAAAAGATATATTGGTATCATCCTTCGGCAACAAATATAATTAATAGTTTCAATTTTTAACAAAAATAATATTTTAAATCATATTCTAGTGGATCACAGCATTCAACGGTTGATATTTTCTCTAAGTTCTTAAAATAAATTATCAATGTGTTGTAGAAGAATTACAAATTAATGAATGTTTTATTTGGTTTTGGCAATGATTTAATAAAACATTACAATTTTTTTTTTTAATTTTTTTTTTTATAAAGACATGGTAATATAGAATTTGAATTTGAATCGAAACAGTATGAGATAAAATAATTTGAAACACAAATATTTCCTGGATGGTATTGATATTTTTTCTCTTCTCACAAATCTCTCCCTCCCCCCCCCCATTTTTTTAAATTTGTAAACGATGTGTACGCACCTGCATATTTGCATATAAGCAGCTACGCGCCTGTCAGAATACATGCAAGTAAAGATACTCAGATCTTAACAGCCTTCAAACTTTCACACCATTGTACTGTTAAAAATTCAAAGTATTAGTTATCTAGAAAATTTATTTAATTAAAAACAGCCTTTCAAATTCAAAGACAAGCTGTGAAGGGATTTCTGAGCAGGTGCAAAATATTTCAAACAGTCCACAGTTCAAACAGTTCTTCTGGATGAAATCAATTCTGAAAACAAAATGAAATACCATTATGGAAGGTTCATTGGTGTTTTAAAAAAAGTGATACTCAAAACAATGCATTGAGTAACATGGAAAGCATTTACATGATTCTACTGTTTTTATTATCAAAACATTTCAATAATCTTGCTAGGAAAATGTATGGTTTAGAGCTTATATGGAGCATACCTTTTTATTTTATTGGTGGAAACACTTGCTGCCTGAATGAATTGTTCAAATTGTTTGGGAGTAGCTACAACACAATATATATATAATGAGTGAAAAACATAATGATTACTATTGTAGAATGAAATGACATTGCATTGTACAAAACAAACCATGCTATACTATATTACCTGAAATTCATAAAATAGATGGAAACAAACTTTTGATACAAAACTTTTCTGGGAAATTGAAACCTATGACATTTGCAAAAGTAGAATTGGTAGCTATACTTAATTTAAGTAAAAAAAAAATCAATATACTAGAGATAACATTTAATTCTTTCACCTATGCAACATTTAAAAAAATATTCAACACTGGCATACTATAAAATTAATGTGAAATGCTTTAGTGTGATCATACCCAGTGGAGAAATTGATGCATCTATTTTGATAGTTCTAGCTGATGTAAATGCTAGTTTTAACCAGTTCTGTGACAGCTACAATGACAAAAGAATTACACATATAAACAGTACATAAAAACATGTATATACATATAAGACTGACTTAATGTACATGTAGTCAGACAAATGAAAATTCAAACATTTTATCTTCATTAATGTAGAAATTCTACAAATTTACAGCCTAGTGATATAGATAGTACAAGTTCTATGATGAATTTAAAATATGAAGCACTGGTAAAAACTGAAATCTTAAAATTCACATATTTTTGATTGCCAGAGGTAAAAATTAAAATTTATAGGGTCTTATACTCTTGTATGTACAGTGCACATACATTGTATACTGTGCAGTTTGACTTCACAAATACACTGTAAGTGTGACTGCATCTAAATTATACTATTTGATATCATGACGTGCTGTGCTTATATTATGTTACATGTTTGTACATGTATGCCAAAGGACAACATCATTGCATATTTAAAAGTGTGGAACTTTCATAATGTGTGTTTTTTTGTGTATGTGTGTGTGTGTGGGGGGGGGGGGGTACACACAAGGCACTGCATTGCAGTTTGTGACGGACTGTAACAATACATCTTATTGTACATGTTCAAGGTTATTTTACATCGATGTAAAGAATAGTATGTCTACATGTTAATACCTATGCACATACACACCTTAATGAACAGAAAGGGACCTAGGGAGGTAGTGCGGATCGTCTCAGTTTTCCATGATTTCCCGAAATAACGTCATCATTTTCTCATCAAAAAGATAAACAAGGCCCAGGTCTCTTATTTTATCCCTATTCTCTTTAAAGATTGCCTGATTGTTGCATTTATCCACTGCATATCTCAGCTGCTGTCGCCACGTTTTTAGACGTAAACAACATTCCGTGTCACCGAGTGCAAGCGCTTGGCTGAAGCCGAATGCAGCCAAACGACACAATAAAAAGAGAATTATTTCGAAGACGTGTTGTTACTATATAAGAGAAAATCACTAATGTTTATTTATTTAAACCTGAAAAATCAGACATTCATTACAAATTCTCGCAATCATCATTAAATAGCTTTTTTGAGCTCTATTTCCTTATACGGATCTATCAAGGCGGAGCAACTGTCATGACGTCAAACCTCATTATGACCTCATTACCATATTATCTTCATGTGTAGCCTTAACTGTACTGCGTGGATACATTTCTTTGATTTCTGTGGAAGGGTACAATGCACAAATTGATTTTTAGCCGGGCTTATTGCTCAAAGAGCAATTGCCAGCAGGGACCTATATACTATATATAGGTCCCTGTTGCCAGCTATTGACAGCCTGTTCAGGCTGGAAGTGTCGACCCCACCACCGCCAAATTAAAGTTACATGTAAAAATATAGTACTTACTCTCAACCACTTTTGAGATAACACAATCGCTAAATAAAGCAACAAAAATTAAAAGTTTTATCTATACAAATAAACATTAGTAGTAATGACATTGAAAACTTCAGTCCTAGGTCAAACACCATAGTTCATTTGCGTAAGGTTTTTTATGGTCAATGTTGTCGTAGCCTAATTCTCTACAAAGACAGTCGCCCGCGTGGCGCAGTGGTTAGAGCGTCTGCTCTAGAGTCGCGGAGTAAGGAGTTGATCCTTACGTCGCGGGTTCGAATCCCACTGTGGGACGTGGAGACCGGTCCTTCGGATGAGACCGTATAAACCGAGGTCCCGTGTCGCAGTAGGTGTTGGCACGAAAAAGATCCCTCACTGCTCAATGGCCGTAAGTGCCGAGCATAGGACAAAATTTGCAGCTCTCCACCGGCAAGTGGTGGCGTCTCCATATGAGTGAAAAATTCTCGAGAGGGACGTTAAACAACATACAATCAATCAATCTGCAAAGACAGAGAGAACCAGTTTTTGTTTACATGCGGTGGTGCCATGTTAACTCTGACCCTGATAAATTCGGACCGTGGTATTAGGTCCCATAATTGATTGTTTATCATTCATATTGATATTTTAAAATAAATTTTTCATAAAATTAAAAAAAAAATTTTTTTTAAATAAGATGTCATTGATGCCCTTACTTTTCTTAGTATCATTTTTTTAATTGTTTGTGTTACGTATTTTCCCAGTGTCTTAAATTCTTATTATTTGTTAATACAATGTACATGTATGATTCACGTAAAAAATTCTACTCTGTAAATGAGCCCGGCTCTCTGTACTCCTGAGTACTTTGATTGTTTGGAATTGATGAGTCAATAATAGAATATGTTTCCCGGCTGCCAGTTTATTCACTTGACCGGTGTGTTTTCTATCTTTTTCGACAGCAGATACGAGTTATTGAGGGGAACAATATACCCTATTTACAATGTTGCTAAATCCTCGAAGTGTTGCAGAATCTATGCGGAATCTTATGTATTTTTATATTTTCCAGCTTCTATCTTTAGATATTTTAGAGATAAATGCAATGAGAAATGTAGCACAGTTTGCAAGAAAACACGCGGCTGTGACCACTTGACTGTTTTCTGTACAGAGTAGGCAAGGCTGACTGGCAAAGCAGGTCTGTAATTATGATAATTGAATTTCGATAATACTTACTGTTTTTAGACCCTGTTGAAACTTTTGATTTTGGTATATTTCTATTTCTAACCTTTGATGAATGATAGTAAAAAAATATTCAAGTTAATAAAAGGTTGCATTGTCTTTTGTGTGCAATAATAAAGATTATTTTATCCCGATTTGATTAATCTTTGTCTATATGTAAAAGTATTACCGTTTCTGAAGTAACGTTTTAAAGGAAATAATTTTACATATAGTTCTATTTTGTTTGTGGTTAAAGCTGTGGCAGTATGATACTTTTCAGCAAGTGGTAATCATGTGACTGTTATGATTTAATAAGTTATTATATGTCATTTTTACAGCTGTGCAGAGATGGAGCAGAACACAGCAAAATTTTATGAGAGTCACCAATTAAAATATAACTTACAAAAATATTTTTAAGACTGGCGGTAATGATAAGTTAAAAGCCAAGAGCTTGGTAAAAGAAAGGAAACTTCTGCATTATTTGTTATTAAATGAAACAAACCAAAGGATACTTTAAACTTCCGTTCTTATTTGGGGGATACGGTGGGGAAGGGGGTGGGGTCGGGCTATGCAATGACCATTACATGTATTTCGTCCCCCCCAAAAAAGCCGTTCATTTGACCACACTTTAACCTTTGAAAAATCATATTTATATTAATTTTGACTTTAACACTTAATGAAAAATGATTTTCTTTTGCAATCTCAATTTTCATTTTCTTTGCAGGTAAATGCATAAATTATAAAGGTGATACGCAAATAAATAGCTGACCACTCTTAATCTGCTTACTAGTACATATATTTATCTTTAATGATAGAAGGCGCCAAATGCGTTCACTGGAGCAATTTATAATTAGTTATTTTTTTATTTTATTTATTTTTATTCCGTAAAAGCCATTTTAATTTTGAGAAGGAAAAAGTTTCCTTTAATTTTTTCCGTTTTTATAACCGAAGGACAAGAAAGACCTTACAATTACATCTTCTCTGACCCTTTCCACAAGTTCGGAAAAAAACCTCGAATGTTTGTTATTTTTTTTCTAAAAAAAATGGAGTAGCTTCCTATTATTCGGATATTGGATAGACAGAGTTGAGTGTCCCTTCTATAGTATATTTTAGATAATATCTTTACATTCAATGAAGTTTAGCTCTAGACTCCAAAGATAAGAGGCTTCCTATAATTGTTTTAAATTTATGAAAAAGGGGGGATGTCTTGGATGCATACGTAAGGCATTTAAGGTTGTTTTCCCTGCTTGTAATAAACGCTCAGGAAGTTGCGTTGGGAGACCTTGAGGTAGACTGCTTCCCTGACTAAAGCGCCCTTAAAAACCAACTTGTATTTCCTAGAGGCAGTGCTCCTTTGCTAACCCTGACGTACGTGTAAATATGAAAGATTTATGATGTTTGAAACCATTGTCGTATCGGACTGTTTTGACGGCAAAAAAATGTACACTGGCAAAATAAAGGTTATGACATATACCAGTAATCTAGTTCTATCTTTGATATTAGAATACTTATGTGTGGAGTGTTAAAGTCATAAGATCGGTGTCAAGATTTTGTAAAATTAATAAGCTAAACGGAAATAACACACTTGGCTGAAGATATAACTAATTGTTATGTACTTTAGATATATATAGTGTCTATTTTATGCTAAAAATGTTCATGTATTGCGAAATTTGCCTGACCAACTTATCGTGTGAAACTTGTAGGGATCTCCGCAAAAGGACTGGAAACGCACACAAAAGATATTTCAAGTATCTGTAAGTAAATTTTTACAAACTGTCACAATTTTATTTATTGCTTTATTGATTTCTTTGTTTATGAAGTAATATTCGCTATCAGCTGGATATGGCTTATGTCTCCCAACTTATTCGCTACTCAAAAGCATGCTCCGAGTACGATCAATTTTTAAACCAAGGTAGGCTACTCACACGTACGTACATAAGTTGATGTTAAAGGGATTTCAACAACCTCGTTTAAAGTCAGCATTTCGTAAATATAATGATTGATATAATGACCATATTAGCAAATATGGGTCGTATGGGTCACTGGGTCGTATTTTGGCTTGCTTGTTTCATACTTGTTGTCAGACGTCTGTTTTTTGTACTAAATTTGACTACGGAATATTAACGTTCAGTCTACTTGATCAATACATAGGATGTGACTGGTTAACAGGGGAAACTTACTTCTCCTAGGTATCCTGATCCTACCTGTGGAATTTCTAGGGGTCTTCTTTATTCCCAGATTTATATTGTTTGAAGTTTTTAGGAGATCGACCACTCTTTAGTGTCTCCACCCTTTTTTCATTATATAAGTATAAATTTTCTATCATGCGTCATTTACAGCTTTCTGATATTCAAATTTATAAGAATATGGAGACAGCAAAATTACAAAGCCACTCTTCTAATGTACTCTTGCACGTGACGTTGAAACAACAAAACACAGAAACGTATATATTCAAATATATATCACAGAACTATTTTTGAATTTAATATCGATGTTTGTTTTAAACACTTAAGGAGGGATTCTTGTCTGGTTTCTGACTAGATGAAATATTCAAAGTATATTTGCTTACATGTTTTGTATATTTAGATGTAAGAGATTTAAAAGATCATATTTTTCTTTCCTCATCACAATTGTACAACTTTGAATAGAAATGGTAAACTGAGTTTGAAATCTAGCAGGGACTATATTTTTGGCGGAATGGCGGCGTATGAAAATATCTTCTTTTCTGCCTCTCAAAATAATTATAGAACAATGAATTTAGTTATAATTTTTACACGATCAAAGACTTTTAGAAAAATTTTTAAATGTAAGTGAAATTAATAATAAGGGACTAAAGTTTTAAAATATATCAATTGAATATGATTTTCCAAGCAAACTACAATTATGTTAGCTTTTAAAAACTTCCAATCTAAGTTCAGATTTGAGACAAAAATTCGTAAAAAGTGTTTTTTCTCTCTTACTAAACGGTCAAAACTTTTTGTTTTTATATCATTTTGTACCTTTATGTGACAACTTTACCATATGAGCCGTCCCATGCGAAAAGGGCCCTTAAGGTAAAAATTTTCAAAATTGACTTTTTAATGGATTAAGGTAGATTATAGTGTAAAATAACCAAATATAAAGTTTGATTCAAATATTCAGAATAGTTACTGAGATATAGGGAATCAAAGGTTAAGAAAATGTTAAAATTACCTTGAAAAATGACGTTCAAACTGACGCTTTTACATTGTATATCCCTCTCAGAAATATTTGAAATATGTATCTGATTAAAAAAAAACATTACTTTATCACACGAAAATATGCATGAAAAATTTATGAATAAATCTCCTGCCTTTATTTTACATGCAATATTTGATATAGTTGTTCTCGTTAAAGTATTATATCTAAATTATATACTAGTTGTCGAAACCGTTTCATTGTTATTTGTTTAATTTTATAAAGAAGAGGTGTTTTGGACTCTGTATTAGACGTAAGTTACATGTACATTTTTGCATGTCACATAAATGTCCATTTTGGTCAACTGTAAAAGACATGATTTTAAAAATCCGATAAAAAATTAAATAAAACACAGATAATGGTTTTATATCGGTAAATATCCGGTATGCTTTTTTTTTTTTAAATAATAACGTTATACACTCGCGACGTCATGTTACACTGTAGACGTGAATATTGCTCTGATATACGATTCAGAGAAAAGTAAATATTAAATAAAAAACAAACAAATAAAAGATATGTGTTTAGATGTTTTACAGACTTGTATTTTATTTATTTGTAGTTTATGAAAAACAATTTGTTCAAAAATTTTAAAAAGAATCCGTAAGATAAAACTGATAACATCGCGTCTTCTTTGTAGTTGTAGAGTTCATTGTTTGATAATTTTTCATCATAAGGATATAATTTTTGTTGTTTTATTCATGACCTAGATGAATTTGTGAAAGAAAGTTAAGCTTGAAGGGCGGATACAGAAAATTGATCGGCAAGAGGGGGGGGGGGGGCATCTGCAGTAACACAATCCAGTTAAAATTTTCTGACAAGTTAAAGAATGAAGTTTGAGGAGAATTTCTGACAAATTAAATGAAGTTTAGGGAATGGGGATATGTACCTACTATACTGGACATATATGTATTCAAAGTCCTACATTGGTAAATATTGTTACAGGCAAATAATAAGTGCCGAGACAATCCCTTCCCCACTTTACATGGGTAATACATGTTTCTTACGATATTGTACATATTAGACCATCTGTCAAAATTGGCTGATTGCCCTCTCCGCCGGCTAAAAATGGCCCGACTCAAAACTCTTTTAAGCTGCCAGGAAGCATTTTTTATTGCATTTCGGAAAACAGATTTTGGAAATTCAGCATTCATATCAAAATTTTCTGGGGGAAAAAATTCTCACCTACCTACCGACCCACTTTTTTCGTCCTGGGTCGGAAGAGGGCATACAAACATTATTTTAAAGTTGGTCGTATTCCCTGCAATATTGGCGTAAACCGTCACAATATTTGCACCGCCTATTTGCACTGTACCGACTTATAAGCGGGTCAATATTCGTATGTCTTGCAGTGAACATGTGATCTCACAAAAACTAAGGATGAGGATATAATTTTCATATTATCATCATACCCTTATACGGTCATTATAAGTTCAGAATATATTTTGAAGTTTGAAGTTTCTTTTATGTCATAATGATTCATAATGTACCCCCCCCTTTTTTTCGCTAAATTTCGTTTGAAGAAAAAAAATTATAAGCTTAAGCCTACATATTCTTCCATCCATTTTGTGGTTCTCAAATTTTGTGGAATTATGACCGCTTATAGTTTAGGTCCAATAAGATATGTAGTTGATCGGGAAAGAAGGAATGAGTGGCGCTGCGAGCCGGAAGTAGTTGTGCCGTATTCCTAGGACTCTTCCCGAAATCACATATTACCATGTATAAATCCAAAGTAATGAGTAAATCAGTTTCTGAGTTTATGAAAGCTTTTAACGATGGACGGCAATTTTAACTTTCAAGAAATACATGCAGGGACACAGACGGAAGTGGTCAGTAAATTCGTCGGGCCTCCGTACACATACAATTTAGATACTGGTGTATAACAGAGTTCTTTGATAACAATTAGCGAATTGATAAAATGACATGCCTCGAGTAAATTACAAAGTCTGTGAAAAGCTTTGATAAGAAGGACATGAAAGAAGTTTAAATTAAATAATTACTTGAATGTTTTTTATATAGGACTTTAAAAAGTGTTGAGGGCAATTTACACTAAATACATATTTGTAATTAAAATTGATAAAAAGAATATAAGTTTTAAATAATATTCAAAGTAAGATTTATTTTAAGAGTCGATTTTGCACGGTGATAGAAGTGTTTATCTCAGATTTAAAAAGAAATCAAATTTTCTTCACTGACACTAACAAGCTCATAAAATTTTGACATGTTGTACTAGTATTTGTGAAATGCCCCTTGACCCGAGGTCTATAAATTTGTACGCATTTGATATTATTGTATCTATCAACTGAGTAACCTCTGGTTGTATCGCCGACATTGCTGAGCACTGCCATTTTAGCTCATTTTTCTTTGGTCGAAAAGGGATTAACCCCCTACCGAAATACATTTCTTTTTTTTGGGGGGGGGGTCTATATTTAACTTGTCATTTTACCCCCCCCTTTCTGAAAAACGTTGTTACGTACATGCCTAAAGAAATGGCCAAATATGATTCATTAAAAAAATAAGCAGTCATTCTTCCTATTTATCAATTAAAGATTAAACTGAACTTATTGCAAACCTTCATACACAAAAAAGTATTTATTTTCGTAACCTTTAATTCAGACAAACACTGCATCTTTGGAAGAAATTAAAATAATAATCAGATGCAATATTACAGGGAAATAAATCTATATTCAATCTTTCAGATTTAATTTCCCCGTATTATGCTTTTGGGGTTTTATAAATACTGACTCATTATTTACTAGGAATTAAATGCAGGCATGTTGTTTGGGGGGGGGGGGGGGTTCCATACATAATGTTTCACTGGTAATTGAATGATATAGAATGAAGATGTTTACTGAATGGCTAATTGCACCCTCCTCTAGCAACCCCCCCCCCTTTTTAGCAAACTCAAATCTTCCCAAAGATTGCATAAAAAAATCTGATCAATTTTTTTTTCGTTTGGATCATTTACTTTTTTTTCCTCATTTTTTTCCGCCTGGTCCAAGACTTTTAACAAATGATACTAGATTTTATTCTCAAATCTCAAGAAATATATATCGTAGCAAACAAATTACTCTCGTTCAACCACAAGCTAGGCTGTCTCCATAAACAGTAAAAACTGCTTCTTTACTTGAATGAGACAACAAACACAATGACCGTGACGAAGGCAGATCGTCAATCGCCTTTATACACACGTAATAAATGTTGTTTTGAAAAAAAAATCAGATTTTTTTTTCATTAAATTTAATGCTTTACAAGGAATCAACCTTTTCAAACTTCGTCATTTGCTACATGTTGAGCTGAACAAAATTTTAATTGCATATATAAACTGGTTTAAGATTTTTTTTTTATTTATTGTTAATTATTTTAATTCGGTTACTATGTATTTGTGTTAAAAAGGATGTGTACATGCAGACGTATATATCGATCATCATGTACAATCGCTTTCAATGTATAAAAAATTGGATAAAAAACTACACCTAAATATATATATCAGCAAAATTTAATATTCTACATTGGAAATGTCCATTTATATGGAACTTAGCTCTAAAAATTCATATTTTCTTTTTTCCTTGATATTCTATTGGCTCTAAATGATATAAACAACAATGAAAATAAGTTGATAGCGCTCAGGTTAAAATGTTGCCGAAAAATATACAACATACGCAACTTGCATTTTATGACGTTATCTTTACCGGCGTTTTTCTCATTATGACGTCAAAATACATAAGGGCCCTTTTCGCATGGGACGGCTCATATGTGAAAATAAGAAAAATTTAAATATAGGAAGCATATAGAAATAACTAAAATATCTTAAAATTTTAAGAAAAATAGAGAAAATTCGGATTAGCCAATATCCATTTTAGTTAAATTATTTATGTAAATTTGGTAATATCATCTTATAGACCCTATATGGTAATATCTCTTTATGCAAAAAGAAAAACATTTAATTTATTGAAGTAGAAGTAGGCATCGCATGATTGGTAACAGTAATTTTTTATTCTTAATGTCCAGGGAAAAGGTACTGACCTTGACCTGACCTTGCCTCTAATATAAAACGGTCAAATTTAATCCAACTGATACCATCACTTAGTGATATTGTCTTCTTGATTCTGTGAAGATTTCATTGATTTTTAAATATGAGAAATAAGTGTTCTTATGAGAAGAATCCCTCCTTAAAATGTTTATCTTTATTATACCAGAAAATAAGAATAATTGATAAAGTATTAATATCTAATTAAAATTTTAAAAATTAGTGATTTCTTGTCCATGCACATGGAAAAATTTACTGGTTGCCAAGGAAACTTCTTTGACCAGGTTTCCATAGTGAACATGATCCAAAACATTTTTTATTTTACATCCAAGGATCATAGTGCAAGAGAAATTTATGTGCATGTGGAAAGTTATCGAATTCTGAGAACTTCAGTGTATCGCTTATATAACACTATTGCATGATTTTTACATAGAATGGTACATTATATTTGTTGTGACAGTCTTTGATGCAATTCGTTTATTTCATAATGTTGTCACATATTAAAGTTAGAACCAAGACAAAACGGGATCTAGTTACTTAAGATATTAGAAAGTCAATTATATAATATATCATTAAAATTAGATATTGTATAATAATATAATAATAATAAGAATAATAATGCTTTATTTAGAGAAGGTAACCCGATTAGTAAAAAGCACTATTCTTCCCCGGGGCCTTCTACAATTCAAACAATATACATCAAACGGTACAATCAAGCATATACACTGTACATGAAAAAGATAAGCTCATTATTTGTACAAATAAATGAAATTATAGGACAATAAATAAGTCAATATACATAACTTAGAAGACGTGGTTTACAATAATAACAACGATGACATTTATAATAATAAATTACAGACGTTGGCTAATTATAATTTTTTCCAAATTCTTTCTAAAAACAAGTAAAGATGGTGATAATTTAACATATAATGGTGGGCTATTCCATAACTGTACGCCTGAATATTGAAGAGAGATTGTAAATAGAATTGTTCGATGCTTTGGTAATCGAAGATTATAATTTAATTCCGAACGCAATGAATAGGAATCGGAGCTATGAAAAATAAAAATATCCCGGAAATATTCAGGGCTCATACCATAAAAAGTTTCATACAATAAAATACACTAATGAAATGTAACTAACTCAAATACATTTAAGCATCCTAATTTTTCAAACAAAGGCTTAGGTGGTTGGTCAGGTGCTGCATCAAGAATAATTCTAGCAGCCCTTTTCGGTAATGAAAGGACAAATGACCACTAAGCAAATAACTTTGAAAGTAAAACATGGGAAAATATAACTAAGATGTGTTAAGGGTCATCGATACTGTGAAAAGAGTGATAACTCCTTTATAAATTAAGTTGAAATGTCTTTTCCATTTATGCCAAGTAAGCTATGCTATAATTGCATGTATTTTGCTTATACCGGGGTATAATATTTTTTTTAATATCAAGAGTTATAGCAACAATTTTATATTTTCAGTGAGCAGGGAGTGTACGAACCTCAAGTTCTCCATCAACAAATAACAAAATAAAGAAAAATTCGGGTTTAATTTCCAACCAAAGGAAGAAATTTTTTTTTTATTTCAAAAAATAATTATTTGGAATTCTAATAATATAGTTTCTCTGGAAACATTTTAATTCGTGCGGTCCAATGTTTGTGGATAATACAAGTTTTACTGGTTCATGTGGTGGTCTGCATGGCGTAGTGTTTAGAATGTTTGTGCCAGAGTCGCTGAGTAAAGGTTTTGTTCGTTTGTTTGCTTGTTGTTTAACGTCCCTCTCGAGAATTTTTCACTCATATGGAGACGCCACAACCTGCCGGTGGAGAGCTGCAAATTTTGACCTATGCTCGGCACTCAGGGCCACTGAGCAGTGAGGGATCTTTTTCGTGCCAGCACCTGCTGCGACACGCGACCTCAGTGTATACGGTCTCATCCGAATGACCGGTCTCCACGTCCCACAGTGGGATTCGAACCCACGACGTAAGGATCAACTCCGACGTAAGGATCAACTCTTTACTTCACGACTCTAGAGCAGACGCTCTTACCACTGCGCCACGCAGGGGACTGAGTAAAGGTAATGATCCTTATGTCGAGGGTTTTAATCCACTGAGTGACTTGGAGACCGGTCCTTCCAATGAAATGTTTCAACAGTGGTCATATGTCGTAATACGTGCTGGCATGAAAAAGTTCCTTGCTTCTCAAAGGTCGTAATGGCAGACTGCAGGTCTAAATTTGCAACCTTAGGAGGGCAAGTGGTAGTGTTTTAATAGAAGTGAAATATTTCCAAATGGACGTTAAACAAACAAACTGGTTTAGTGTGGATGTAAATTCCTGGGTAACATATATAATATGAAGTATAAAGATAACAAACTGTTATCATGTTAAAAAGTCAATTAAAAGAATACAAATCAGGAGCAGAGCAAACACAGACCTCTAAAATATTACAGGTGGGATCGTGTTTAATGGAGGAATAAGCATCCTTTGTCGACCGGTCACACCCGCCGTGTGTTCATTGTCAAGATTGGGTAAATGGAAAAATTCGTAGACAATTCAGTGTAAAAATAGATGCCTAACAAATTTGTATGAAAAACGTAGGTCAACATTCGACTTTATGCTACATTGTATTTGTTGACATTATATCAACCATATAATTTGCGAAAAGTTGACTTTGAACGAATCCGTTGAAATCCATGTTTTTCTTCTTCTTATTTGCCAGTAGCTTCTTTTGTTTCAAAAAATTGTTCATATATAGAGCATGCTCTTGCGTATGGAATCAACTGGGAGACATATAAACATATTCTGTTATGTAAAGTTATACTCAAAATGAGTAATTTTGTGTATTTTCAGGAAGTGTTCCAAATTCCTGGATATTTGAACCGAACAGCCTACTTCCTTATTCTATAGAAATGACAGACATCAGAACAGGGCTTGTTCCCTTCTTCATTATGTGGGTCTGTTTTATTAGGAATGGTCAACCAGTGCTTCAGCCCCATCCAAAATGCGAACAAATATTGGTTCCTCTGTGTAAGGACTTATCGTACAATTATACTGTCATGCCAAATCTTCTACACCATCAAAAACAAGAGGACGCTGGGTTAGAGGTACACCAGTTTTTCCCCCTTGTCAAAGTGAATTGCAGTTCTCAGTTGAAATTTTTCTTATGTACGATGTATGTACCGATGTGTTCTGCACAAGGAGAAGCGATTCCGCCTTGTCGCTCTATCTGCAACGAAGCTAGAGATGGATGCGAACCACTGATGAGGAAATTCGGATTTCAATGGCCGGAGAGTTTAGCTTGTGAAAAGTTTTCAGAAAATCGTATGTGCACTCGGGAAAATATGCCTCCTATTCAAGAAATTACCACACATCCTCAAATAATCAGAAGTACAAGTTCTAGTACAACTTCTCAACCATATGCAAAATGCCAAGTGATAAAAGTTCCTATGTGTAAAGACATGCCCTACAATTATACAATATTGCCAAACCACAAAAATCAAGATGATATTGGTTTACAACTGTCTACATTTACCCCCCTTGTGCAGTATGGATGCAGTCCACAGCTGAAATATTTCTTATGTGCATCGTATTTACCAAAGTGTACAGAACAAGGAGAAGCTATTCGACCCTGTCGCTCCAATTGTAATGAAGTTAGAAACGGCTGTGAGCCAATATTGATGAGGTTTGGATTTCTGTGGCCAGAGAGCCTAGCATGTGACAAACTTCCAGAGAGTGGTACTTGCTCTCAAGAAGCTATGCCTCGTCAAATAGATTCATCTACCAATCCTCCTCTAAAAAGAGGGTCAGGGCCTGATTATTATTCTAGTACAAGTAATGCTGCAGAAACTGCAACCCGCTCTCCTGTAATCGAAGGAGAAAAACATGTATACAATGCAACTATACCAGTACGGTTTGTGACGTTTGTTTCTTCAACAAAGGGGTCAAACAATGGCAATACCTGCTTCTCTGCAAATCTAATCCTTTATGCGTGTGCCATTTTTATGCAATGGACTTGTGTGCATTCTACGGCCGGGGCTAGTTTTATTTGAAAGGATGCATTTTTCGAAGAGACGTCTTTGAAATAGCAGTTTTCTTTTTTCTTTTCCTTTGTTACTAAATATGCTGTAATATATCTAATAGTTATATCAGTATATAGAATCAAATTCTGAGAAAGTATTTTAATGTGTATGTCCAAATTAAAAAGTAATATGTACATGTATGTCCAAATTAAAAAAGTAATTTATATGCCCATGCAAATTAAAAAGTGTAAATATATTAGTAAACCATGGACGAAGGAATGAGCAGTTGTATTAACTGACAGATAAATTTATTTTATTCCATTTTTTAAATATCACTACTTCTACTTTTTCTCTGTATCGTGTGCCATCTATATATGGTAATAAATATAACTATAATTCTTTTAAGTCTAGTTATTTCAGATGTGGAAGCAGGGGCGGATCCAGATTCATTTTTCATAGGGTTCCACATTAACTCTTACAAATGCCAGACTCGGCCTAAAAGAGGAAATAAGGGAGACAACTTGCCCAAATCCAAAAACCTAAAAATCCTATTTCGAAGGGGGAAGGGGGGGGGGCTTTCCATGGTCAATTAATTTTCTCCAGATAGATAACCCTCCATACCGTTATAAGAAGGGGGTTTAATTTTTCTGTTTTTTAGCATATAAGTTAGATAACTCTGAAAATTCCAGGGGGTCTAGACGCCCCTATTGACCCATGGGGAGTATACATTGTACCTTGAAGCATTCCATGGATGAAGATTATAAAACGTCTTCTTTTTTGACGCACATAGCGTTAATAAAAAATGGATTTGTTTATTCTAGCTTATAAATGCATCTAAGGGCAGATCAATAATATATATATATATATATATATATATATATATATATATATATATATATATATATATATATATATATATATATATATATATATATATATATATATATATATATATATATATACAGTAACAAACCTTCACACATTAAGGATTTCCTGTATTATAATATGAGAATATTTGAAATAACCTTAGTACAGGAGAAATGCTGGAGAATATATTGGAGAACAACCATACTGCCTTGTTGGATGGAAATGTTACTTAAGGTCAGACGACACGTTCCTCAAAAATATATAACTTTTACCAAGATTTTGTGATTGAAATACTGCTACTTTAAGAAGTTGCCTCACAATTTTTTTTTCTTTTTTTAGCTCTTTAACGAGCTTTTCTGATCGAAGTTTATCGTCCGTCAGTTTGTTAATTTTTCACATTTTCGACCTCTTCTCCAGAACCGGTCCAATATCACCCAAACTAAGCACAAAACATCCTCGGGTAAAGATCAACACTTTTTTGGAAGGGTAGATAATCAAGAAAACTTAGGACAAAAAAGTGTTGTGGTGTCTTAAAGAAAACTGTATAAGAAAAGACAAAACTTAACCGAAAGCTTCCTAATATAGTGTAGAATCAAATTTTAAGATTAAAATTTTTACATCGGAATATACAAGAAAAGAAAAGAAAAAATCTTCTCAAGAACAACAGATCAATGATTATCCAAAGTAATATGAGAATATTCTCAGGTAGTGAAGATTCAAGATGGTCCCCAGAGGTAGAATGGAGCTGAAATAAGGGATTCGAGTTTTGCATGTGAAAAAATATTCAAGTTTGTTCAAATCATATCCTATTGGGATAGGGTTGGGCCACAAAAAGGAGAAAGTTTAACATGGGAATATATAGGACAAAATCTTCTTAACAAGAGTAAGGCTATGATTATTCATATATTTTGCAGTTATTCTCAGGTAGTCCAGATTAAAGATTGTTTAACTCATGAGCCATGAAGTTGATTTTGGGCCATAATTTAGAATATTTGATTAAAGAATACTCTAGACGTAATTTTTTCCGCATGGGATTAACTTCCGCTATGTATGCAGTCACGCCGTAATTTTTCACAACGTACTTCAATTTCATTATGGACATATATTACGTAAATTTATATTCGCGGATTGAACAAAAATTATGATTCCGCAGAATTGTGACCTAGTGGAAAAAAGTACGTTAACCGTATTCAAAAGAAAAAAAAAAATCTTCAATTTTAGTCAAATCATGGCGCTGGATGTAGTGTGGCCATGATATGAAGTGGAACATGGGAATATATATGAAAAATATCTTTAAAAACTTCTGGGCCATGACTAGTAAAATTAATATGCAAGGATAGAGTTTTGCACCAAATTCTAACTCCCCATAATCCGACTTATAGGCGAGTACTGTGAAATCACTAATTGTCCTAATATTCGAGGTATGAAGATTCATGTCCACCACGAAATGTAAAATATCATGTTTTTCCACGAAATTAAATCCCCGCAAACCCAAATCTTTTCTTCAAACCACGAAAATTTGTCCCCATGAAAACATGTGATTTTACATAGTATACGGTGTATATACAGTGTATAGTATTGTAGGTTATGAGTTCAATATCAAGATTTGCTTGAAATCTATTGGAAACGGAAATAATTAATTTTTTTCGAAATATGCACTTATAATGTACTTAAATCTTCCGTCTACACAGAAAATTTACAAGTGTATAGGGAAATTAGCCCACAGATCTTGTGAAACTTCTTTAGCGCGAATGGACAGAAAACTATATAAAGATATTTCAAGTAAGTTTTGATTTTTTCATATTCAAAAACTCGGTTCGAATTTTTACATATTAAATTTAAAGCTCGACTTTCTGACTATTTGTCCCCTGTTAAGACTTGATGTATTATGTCTCTGACGGGTATGGTTGCTCAGAATGATTTTCATAAATATTACATATATAAGATTCAGTTAAAGATATACACGCTATAACTTGCGTCAGTTAAAAATAAAGTTGGAAATTTATTTATTTTGTTTACCAAATAAAGTTAAGAAAATATTGTAAATTACACAATTGGAAATGAACGCATTATGAAGATCTCAAATTATAATTATTTATTATCCTGCTAGGAAAGTAATGCCTATATTTAAATTCATGCATCATGTGACACCGACGCTACTTTTAGATTGATAAACAAAAATGGCGTCAAGAAAACTAGGTAGGCCGTTTGGTATACAAAATAACTTTTGACATGGACGGCATACGTTTTATGCTTAAATATGCTTATCTTTGAAAACAAGCAGTATTAACCATTTACTCTGTAATGACAGATATTAACTTTTATTCAAAATCGTAGTCAAAATGCAACGTACCTTGTTTATGATTTCCCGCGAACATGCCTGTCTATATACTGTTTACGCACTTCCTTCATCAATATTCATGATAGGCTGAATTCTTAATTGCAGATCTTGCTTAATTGTTTTGTAATTACAACGACTTATTTAGTAAAACTTGGTGGAAAGTAATTATTTTTTATTACACACCATGTTTCACAAATCATTTAATCATTTTGTTTCACATGAAAAATCGCGTTTATATAGCGTGTATATCTTTAAAATGTGCTAATCTTAATTTTTCTGTCACAAACAAAACGCTACCTTTAAAGTGATTCAAATATGAGAAAAGTGTTACATTGCAAAGAATAAAGATATATTTACCAGCAAAATAAATTTCACTATGAAGGACAGTAAAACACGCTTATAACAAAATGTCAGGGACGCACGATTCTGTTTCGTTATATACGTAATTCGTTATATCCGTTAAGTTTCCAAAATATTTAAAAGTCACGAGGAGTGAAAATCACCTCGCTGTAAGCGTCAATTCATTATAAGCGTATTCGTTATAAGTATGGTTTAACATACATAATTGTAAAGTTATTTGAAACATAAAAGTGTCAAAAAACTCTCAGAAAACTCATGTCACAAACTAAGGGTGTGAATACAAAATAATGTAAATGGTATAATTCTTTG